AAAATGATATATTTAGAGCTGTGGACTTTTCAATATTTATTTTTCAATTGCCATTTTCCTTGCATGTTGTAAGTCAAAATGCTAATGCCATAAGATCATTCTGTTTCGTAATGAATCACATTAGGCAGAATATTCTAGAAATTATCAGATATAATTCTGAATTAAGAAGAACCTAAACAGCCTATCCAACTTTAAAAACTAAATGTAAATATAATAACTTAAAAGAGATGGTATTCCTACTTCTAACCCTGACAGCATAAATGCCAAGATTAGGAAATATTGAGAAATGTGATTACTTTTCCTTACATTATCCTGTGCCTGCCCTTGAGGGCATATTTTCAGATATTAAGGTTAGTATTGTTAGAATTGGTTCAATAAAAAACTTTTTCTCTATAGTAACAATATTCTTAAGATCCTCAGAACATCTAAGTTTATGAGGAATAAAACATAAAGTAAACAACTCTTCATAGACACAGCCAGCTTGTATATTTTACAAATAAATCTTTAATTTGAGGTTCAGTAACTTCAAGACAAGTATAAAATTTAGAAGGCTTGTGAGGCCAATACCTAGTACGTTATTGATCCTATAGTAGGGTTGGGCATCATATAGTTCAAAATTGAATTTCAAAAGTTTAACAGTTTACATTAGAAAACTGTGACATAACTACTAAACATATAAAAAACTCATATACATAAACTAAATTAGTGTGGTGGTGTATGTGCGTGTGTGTGTGTGGGGGGTGGGTTTTAGTTCTCAATTTGAAGTTAAATATAGACTGATTATATTGCAATGAGTTTAAAACATTCTGTATGCTTAAACTTTGACTACGTTGGCTATGAAATGTATATGTATAAAGAGGAGACCTACTAAACCCACCCTAATCATAAAGGCAAATTATTTTTTGTTAGAATTGCTTATTAAATAGGCATTGTTTATATTTTCAAATATAATTTGGAGGTATGGTCCCATTCACTAGGACAATGAAATACATGTATGAGTTAAAGATAAAAGAAAAATTTCAAATCTAACAATTCAGAAATTCAAGGAGGTAAATGGCCTCTTTTATGTTTTACAATATTTTTACATCATTTACACTTAATGCTGAATTAATTCTCAAGTGCAGAAATATAAATTTTATGTGGTTTTATGGATTCTAAGCTGATATATTTCACCTGTTAAAAATTATGCTGCTCAGTTAGCATTAGAGGCCTTATGTTTGGTAATTACAAGTGTCTGGGCTATGTGAGTCTCTATATATGTGTGTGCTATGTTCCAGTTTTTTGATTCAAATTATCTACGTATAATTGTATCAAATATTTTAAAAAGCAAAGGAGTCTAAGAAGATTGTTAAATATCCAATAAGAATCCTAAATACCTTTATATATATTTTAAAAGTATTGGGCTTATTTTAAAAGTATTGAACATGATTATGCTGGTCTGTCTGCCTTTTAGCCTGACTCCTTCACTCTAGTGTATGGAAGTCTGTTAGAAATGTTCAATAAGTTAAGTAATGTATCTTGCAAAAAAGCCTCCACTCTGAGAAACAGGGCCTTATAGAGTGGGAATGTTTTCATACTCGGACTACTGAGATTTTGCAGATGTGTGTATCTGTTCCATTTAAGGTGCCCTTAAATGTGTTGAATGTAATGTGTTGAATGTTGAATGTTTATGTGTAATGGCTAAAGTATCTATATGTATGTGCATAAGACTGTCACAAGATGTATTCTCAGGAATACTGTTACCTGGAGTTTGAAGAAATAACCATTTAAAAAAAAACAGTTGGGGAAGATTAGAAAAAAGTTTAAGATAATTGATAATTTTTTGTAATGTTTAAAATATTATTGAGTATATGACTAAAAGCTAATTATTAAACATGATAAATACAGTATTGGTAATAATATATTAAATATATATATATATATAGAGAGAGAGAGAAGTAGAAAATTTATTTGGGGCAAGTTTGACGATTGCAACTCAGGAGCATAAATTCAAGTTGCCCTGAATATACGTTCCCCATAGATCATTTCTTAAGCTATGATGCTTAGTGATATTTATCTTATTCAAAGGAAAAATAAAACAGACATCCACTTGCCATATATGAAAAATTGGACTAAACAAAGAAGTTGCTTCTTCTGAAATTAACTTTTGAGAGACCTTGGTATAAACCATGTGTTATCCATGACAGTGGGTACAGATTTATACTACTCAATTAAACCAGTTCCAATCCTGGATATAGCATTTTCTATAGTAAAACATTTTACTTTCATTTTTCAATATTTGCTGCTTTCTATAATTCTATTACATAAGTTATTTGATTTTTCTGAAAAGGAAACTGAATTACTGAGTGCACTGGGACAAGGCACTTGAGAACTACAGTATCAAAAGACATAAATGAGCATGGCAATGCTGGGGGTAAAATCTGTGGTAGTGGTGGTCTGGTTAAGTCCTATTGCACAGGCTGGGAGTAGCTGGTTTGCTGACAATACCTTAAACAGGGTGACAGCTCCTTCTTTAGCATCTGGTCCTTTAGTCAATAAAGAACTTTCTTCACTCTGCTGCCCAGCTCTGAGAGTATCTGAGATAAGAACAGGGTGTGTGTAGGGACCTAGAGGGAAGAAAGGGCCATAAATGAATAGAATTACAGTCTAAAACATGAATTAAATATCCTTCCTCAAGTTATACTGGATACTTTAATAGAGCACAGTCTCTGGAATTTGCTGCTATCACACCAAGTCATGCTGTTGCCCTGTGACCTCAAACTTCTAATTCCATGGCCTTGTGTTGGCAGTGAGTAAAAAGTCCCACTTCCTCATTTACTCTAGTGGGTCTCAACTGCAGCATTTCAAAAACAAACTTTGATTTGATACTCAGGAGAATAAAAACAAGTTGAGAGCAGAATGTATTTGGAAAAGCTTAAGACAAATTTACTTATATTATTTTAGGATCATTTAGGATTATAGGTCAATGTACCTCCATGATATTTTTTAACAGTCACTGTGACCACAGGATGAAAATCCTTTATTAGCCATTTTATACGTAAAAACAAAAGATTGACTACACAGCCAACTTCCCTCAGATGACTATGAAGTCTATTATGAATATTGAATGACCAAAGAACATGGAAAAAATGCATATGAATACTGAAATGTTTATGAAAGATATTTATGAAAGATATTAAGAATTCTGTGTTTGAATATGCACATATAATAAAATAAATCTAAAAATATTTAAGATGGCTGAGTAAGTTTCATTTCTTAATGTAGGGAATAGGTTAACTTATACAGGAAGATGTTTATTTTTGATCCCTAGGGTGTGGGGTGTGCCTTTGTCAATGTCTTGCTGTCCCTCCTCAACACTACATTTCACTCCTCTGGTCTGAAGTCACCATCTACTTAGACATCTCCAATTCACTCCACCTCCAGCCCTGAGCTGCATTCTATTTAAGCCTTCCAAATCTACCTTTCAAAATAAAGCACAATAGGAGACTGACACCCCAATTTGACTTCTCTGCTCAGGTTGTGATCCTCTGGAATGACTTGTAGATTTTACAATGGGAATGTTAAAGACTTGGTTGTCCTCTCAGTGTGGCCAGAAACACCACGTGGTCCAAATTACCTCCAATTCTTTTATACAAAGTGCCCTATTCTTACCCACTAAGGATTACTCTCGCTAAATCCATTTTCCCCCCATCATGGTTTAACTTTCATCTCTTTTCCTGACCCAATGGCTCTAGACACATTTGGCTGTGGGACACTCTTATCCATTTCTGGATTGTGTCTGAAAAGTACACACATGTATCACAATTTGTGACTAAGCATTGCTGAGAGATGTAGGAGCCAAGGGAAAACTTCCTCTTCACCCTCCAAAGGTTAGCTGAAGATCACTGACAAAAGGCAGATTAATAGGAGAAAAGGTTGGTACCATTATCAAAAATTTTTTTAAAAAGAGAGAAAAGCATACAAAATGTATTTGATCATGTTTTATGTGACACAATAATGTTCAAAATGAAGACCAAAAGATACAGGGAAAATTGTCCATTTTTATACTTAGGTTCAACAAAGTATGGACAGTGATGTAGAAATATGATTAGATAGAAAGTCTAATGTTATGCCACAGGATCATCTCTGGAATAGGGGTCTTATGACCTATAATCAAAGTAGTACAGATAATTTCTTTATGGCTATCTTTTACAAGGTGGTGGGGAGTGGAAGAGAAAAGTTAGAGTAACATATTTAGATTTTATGGCTGGCTTTGGGGAAAAGGGGCTCTGGTTTCAATGACCCGTCTAAGGGAAGATGGATTCTAGTTTCTATGATGATCCTTCGGGAAGAATGAGACAGAGACAAGAATGCATAATGTTACAGTAAAACATTTGTTTCTGAGGCCTTCCTTTTCTGAGCCCTAACAGAAGGAAAAACAGAAAGGAAGGTAATAATAGCTACCACTTTTTGTACTGAGCACTAGGCATCTTGCTGGGAGAATTACCTGCATTTGCTCACTTAATCCTCACAATCACCTAAGGCTGGGCACTGTCTTTACACATGAGAAAACGAAGCAAGAAGTGACTTGCCAGGTCACCCAGCTAGTATCTGGCAGAGCCAGGATTACTCTAGTTCTTAAGAATTGTTCTAAGACAGAGAAATAAGAGGGAGGAAGGCTTTTGTTGTTGTTTTAAAGAGCAAGCACAAGAGCTGGAGAGGAAAGGAAAGGAACGCATGCATATGCACGCGGCGGAGAAATTAAAAGTAAAGTGAGGTCAAGAGCCAAGAAGAGAGAGCTGCACGGGAAGGAAAACGAAAAAAGCTTAAGGAAACTCCTTGACTAGCGGCGAGAAGCGGAAGACCCAAGAAGAGTGTAACAAGGTCAGAAAACTAGGAAAAGATTCCTATGTCAGGCCCCGCCCCTCGGTCATCGGCTGGTAGCCCCTCCTCCTCCGAGGAGGCGGGACTTCCTCATCGGGGGCCACTGCTTCCGGCAGAGTCCGGAAGCCTGTAGGAGAAGGGGCGGGGCCAAAGCTGCGCGCCCAATCGGGGCGACGCCTTCGTCTTGCGGTGGGACTCGTGAGGTAACCTGCTCTTAGGAACCAGCAGTATGGCGTCGGGCTGCAAGATTGGCCCGTCTATCCTCAACAGCGACCTGGCCAATTTAGGGGCCGAGTGCCTCCGGATGCTAGACTCTGGGGCGGATTATCTGCACCTGGATGTAATGGACGGGTAACTCCTCGGGGCTCGGGTCGGACTTGCGCGGGGTCAGGATGGGCGCACCTTTATTGAGTGCCTGTTGGATGCACGGCGTCCCTGTGCCACCGAGCGCCTCACTCTGAACGCGATACTGAGAAGTGCACTGGGGTGGAAGCCTTGGGGGCCTTGGCAGGAGCGGACTTGACGCGGCATCTTGAGCTGCGGCCGGGTCCCAAACCTCAACTCCTCCCCTCCCCCCATCTAACGCGTGGACTTCTAGCGCTTAGGACCCGGAAGCGACCTTAAATCTCCAGGACATTTCTTTCATTTTCAGTTGGAGAAACTGAAGCCCAAGAGGATAAGCATGACCTGCCCAAGCTCGTATAGCTAGTTAGTGGCAAAACTGGGGAGACTAACTTGTGTAACGATAAAGAGCGTGGCACGTGGAGTCACATTGCCCGAGTTATGCCACTTGCTGGTTACCTTGGACAAGCCACTTAATCTCATTGAGCTTCAGTTTCATTATTTGAAAAATGGGAATACTAATAGAATCTACCGCTTAGGCGTCTCTGGAAGGTGAAATGAGCGAATACACGTTCACAGTGCCTGACATACAGTAAATTCTCTGTGATTGTTGTATCATTATTCAAATTATGATTTTCCTGTCTATTCTCTCTTCAGGCACCCTGCTCTTCAGGGAGGTCAGTTTTTTGTAAGTAATTTTTAAGCACTGTAGTTATAGCACATAATGTTTGGAATCAGGATACTAGTTTCTGAAGTTGGTTATAAAATAAGAAAACAAACTTAGAGAAAACATTAAGACTCCCTCAAGATTACACAAGATTGGGACAGAATTGCAACTTGGCTGTTGGGTTTGCCAAATAGTTCTTTGAGCCCCACTGTTAACTGAACATAAAATCATAAATGCCATTACCTTGGGTGGAAATAGAAAAATAAATCTATTTCAAATAGATAAAAAACTCTGCCTTCATTAAATTTGCAAATTGGTATTTATACAAAAAATGATTAATTACTTTTTAATGTCACTCTCACTTCTCTATGAGTTTTGTCTTTCTTTGTTCTATTGGGTTAAATCTGTTTTTCTCTTTTGTTTTTCCACCTAGTTACCTTACCAGTTTGCACAACTGATAATGACAAGACCTTGACTTTAGAGTACTAAGAATAATAGGGTAAATGTGTAAAAAGTTTAGTAAATATTACCTCTCACAAAAGCTTGATTTTTAGTTTGCCATTTTATATAGTTTTACTTATATACTTTATTTTTGACAGCTTTGCTTGAAAGCCATAAATTGTCACGTGTAATAAACTGATTGTGTAATTTAGAGATGGATAGTTATATTTTAGTGCCTGAGAAAACACCTAAGGGGTTTCAGAATGGAGGATAAAGTATACCTACGTGTATATTTGTGAGTCTATTTGATGCAGAAAGCAGTTTGGTTTTAAATAAGTCATGTGTGAGTAAGTGAATGAATGGGCAAAATAATTTGTTTCAGTTTACCAATCAAGAATATTAATGATAATGATAGTAACAGTATTTATGAGCACTTGACTGTTTCTCTTATGCTTTTTAAAAGTGAATTAACTGGCCAGGTGCGATGGCTCATGCCTGTAATCCTAGCACTCTGGGAGGCCGAGGCCTGCAGATTGCTCGAGGTCAGGAGTTCAAACCCAGCCTGAGCAAGAGTAAGACCCCATCTCTACTATAAGTAGAAAGAAATTAATTGGCTAACTAATATATATAGAAAAAATTCGCTGGGCATGGTGGCCCATGCTTGTAGTCCCAGCTACTCGAGAGGCTGAGGCAGGTGGATCGCTTGAGTCCAGGAGTTTGAGGTTCCTGTGAGCTAGGCTGACACCACGGCATGCTAGCCCAGGCAAGAGAGTGAGACTCTGTCTCAAAAAAAAAAAAAAGTGAGTTAACTCATACGACCTTATTAGCTTGGTGCTGTTATTACCCACTAGCATTTGACAATGAGGAATGAGGCTCAGAAAGGTTGTTCCACCAGAAGAGGCAGAGCTTGGCTGAGCTGGTTAGCAGTGTCCCAAACAGTATGCTGCAATGTTTCTTAGGCTGGGGATATGAAAACGGGTTGTGGAGCCCTGTCCAAAGGTGGTTAACTACAACATACTTTCCCTCCCAATACTGCCTCCATGTTTTTCTCTCTTTTTTTTTTTTGGAGACAGTCTCTTTTTTTTTTGGAGACAGTCTCACTATATTGCCCTGGCTAGAGTACAGTGGCATCAACAACCTCAAATGCCTGGGCTCAAGTGATCCTCCTGCCTCAGCCTCCTTGAGTAGTTGGAACTATAGACACACACCATGCCACCCAGCTAATTTTTTCTATTTTTTAGTAGAAGTGGGGTCTCACACTTGCTCGAACTCTTGAGCTCAAGTGATCCTCCCTCCTCCACTTCCTGGAGTGCTAGAATTACAGGTGAGCCACCATGCCTGGCTAATGTTTCTCTTTTTTTCTAGCCCCTTTTGAGAATCACATTTAGCATTACACTATGGATGCGCTTGTTTTCTAGTCTCTCCTTCCCTTGCCCAGGCCCCCAAAACTGATTTTTTTCATTTAGAAAGTCAGAAACTAGTTTTGGGAGCACTGGAAGGTGGGGGCACTAGTATGGTTGGGTATGTAGAATAAAGGACAAATTGATTCTGAGGCGGTGGCGGGGGGAATCCTGGAAAACACATAAATTCATCATGACAGGATAGTGACTGAAATGTGTTGATCCTAAGCATGGAAACAGCAAATAAGCCATTTATAAGTTAGTTACCAAGAATTAAAATTGGGGAGATTTCACATTAATATTAGATTTTTTACTTTTGAAAAAAATCCAAAGATTTGCCAATACTGGGCCCCCAATCTCAGAAGGCCATTTGGGCTGGAGCTGAATGGAGCAGCCCTACCTTTAGCCAGGTTATATCTGTCATTTGGCCCTTTCCCTACCTGCTCTGTTATGCTCCTTGAAATGTTATCTGCCAACTCCCATTGGCATTTGAGTTTGTGGTTCCTGATTCATAGGTAGCTTGTCTTCTAGATATAATCTTGTACATTTTATACCAACCTTGATCCTCTTCTGGCCATCTCTGACGTGTTGGGAGACAGAATAAAGATCTGAAACTGTCTGCAATATACTGCATTACAATTATATAATTAAAGCTTAAGAGTGATGATGGAATATGATGAGAGATAAAAAGAATTGTATTCCTGTATTATAAACAATTATGGTTTAATTCTAGTAAGTCCCTGGGATAAAGAGATATAGATACTGTTTTTTTTTTTTTTTTTTTGGAGACAGAGTCTCACTCTGTTGCCTGGACTAGAGTGTCATGGCGTCAGGCTAGCTCACACAGCAACCTCAAACTCCTGGGCTCAAGCAATCCTCCTGTCTCAGCCTCCGAGTAGCTGGGACTACAGGCATGCGCCACCATGTCTGGCTAATTTATATATATATATATATATTTTTTTTTTAAGTTGGCCAATTAATTTTCTTTCTACTTTTAGTACAGATGGGGTCTCGTTCTTGCTCAGGCTGGTCTCGAACTCCTGACCTTTAGCAATCCTCCAGCCTTGGCCTCCCAGAGTGCTAGGATTATAGGCATGAGCCACCGCGCCTGTCCAAGAGATACTTTTTAAGTGCATTTTATTTCTTGCAGACTTTAAGTAGTACCTTCAGGGGAGGGGGGAAAAAGGCAGAATAATATAATGATGAAGCAGACTTTGATAAAATGTCTCTTCATTAGAGTGAAGTAATTTTGTGATTTCCAGGCTGGTGTGTTAAGAATTCTCTGAAGCATTTGTTAAAATTCAGATTCCCGGGTCCTCTGGAGTCAGTAGGCTTGAAGTAGAGCCTGTAAATCTATTTGTAGCAAGTGCTTCCATGATTACTATTGTCAGCCAAATTCAGGACATCGTGACTTAATGTTTGGGTTTGTAGCCCTTTATTCTTATTGCTTAGCCATACGCCTTTGGTTTCTTCTCAGAATATTGGTACAATTTTGTTCTTCCACTGTATTTGGTGAATCTATTGCATTGCATTGATTTTCAGTAGCACAAATTAGTCACGTAGTTTTTATATGTTATATTTTTCAATAAAGTGAAAGTGTATTTTTTTGATTCTCTTATTTCCTCAGGGTGTGGTTATTATATTTTTCTTGTAAAATTCCAATAGGCCTTACTGTCTGCTTATCTGACCCTTATTTCAAGTTTTAAGTAAACAACATTTTATCCATAACTCTGACAATCATTGCTCAGGCAAATGGTAATTTCCTATATAATAGAAATCCAGTCTCCAAGGGCTAAGATGTTATTGAGTGAAAGCGTCTGTACCCATCCACCTTACTTGTCCCTTTCAGATGTAGCCTGAATCCTCAACTTTTTTTTAAGTTTCTTCTCCCCTATAATTTATTTTTTCTATTGTTGTCATTGTAGGGGCAGATGAGCATAGTAGTTAAGAGCCTGACTTTGTAGCCATATTGCCTGCATTGAACTTCTGCCTCCAGCACTTACTGGTTGTGTGACCTTGGGTCTCTTTTCCTCATCTGTAAAATACCAGTAATAGAACCTACCTCATAGGGTTGCTGTGAGGTTTTAGTGATTTAATGTATGGAAAGTGTTTAGAACTGTACTTGGCCTACATATAAGTTTTTTTTATTAACACTCATTCTGCCTGTCATATAAACTTAAGAACTTAACCATAGTCTATTCTAACTCCCCTACCACCAAACACATACCCAGTTATTCAATAAATCTAAGTATTAAGTCATTAAATATGAAGTGTCTGATTTTGAATCAAAAGTGTAGTTTATTATATATCTCAAATGAGAAGCAGTACAATTAATCAATGTATGTGCCTAACTAGTGACACAGTTTTGCCATCTTAACGGTAGCTTGTTTATAACAGCAGCAAAGAAGCCTGGAGAGCGAAAGGCGTTTTCCACAGCTTGTTGAGAATTGAATGTTTTTCCTTGCAAGAATTGGTCCTGAGCCTGGATGTAGTTAGTGGTAGTCAGTTGGTGCAAAGTCTAGTGAATATGGTGGGTGACAGAGAGTTTCCAAGTCCAGCCTCTGTAGTTTGAGCAGCAATGTTTTCTGTGACACATGGTCTTGTAAGAAGGGGCCTCTCTGTTGACCAGTCTGGGCTTCTTAATCATAAGCATCCTCATTATTTTGTCCAGTTGGTGGCAGTTGACATCCACTGTAATCAACTGACCAGGTTTCATGAAGCTGTAGTGGATAATACCAGCACTGGACCACCAAACAGACACTGTTAGATTTTTTTGATGAATGTTGGGTTTTGGACTGTATTTCTGCACTTCATCTTTATCCAGCTGTTGTGCTGCATGCTTGGGATTGTCAAAAAGAATCTGTTTTTCATCATACATCACAATACGATGTAGAAATAATTTGCCTTTATGTTCTGATAGCAAAGAAAAGCAAACTTTAAGATGAATTCTCTTCTGACATCCTTTAATTCATGTAGAACCCATCTATTAAGCTTCTTTACCTTGCCCATTTGTTTCAAATGGTCCAGTATTGTTGGAATAGTAACGTCAAACCTTGCTGCTAATTCATGCATAGGTTGAAATGGATTCACTACCACTACAGCTTTTAGCTCATCATTATCCGCCTTGGTCTCAGGCCACCCACACGTGGCTCATTTTCAAGACTAAAATCACTCAACTATCAAGGTACTATGCATTTGTTCATTATTCACATCCTTCCCAAACAGTTCATTTATATTTCCAGCTGTCTGCACTGCCTTGGTTCCAGGATGGAACTCATATTCAAAAATAACACAAATTTTTTACCTACGCATGCATGGTTTTATAAAAATTGCTCTAAAAATTGTTTTGAAAGGTAATTACAAGCCAAAACGTGCATTCAGAAGACTGAGGATATACCTTCACAAGAAGTGTCAAAGTGAAACATCAGAGATGTCAACTGTTTAGGAAATCTGACATTTCATACTTCATAGCCTAATAGTTTTGCGTGTCCTTGTCATTCTTATTGTTCTTTGCTACTTAACAACACTTCTTACCTTTTTATAATTTACTGCCCACTCCGCCTTATTTACTATATGCTTTTTGCTTTAAAAATCATATGTACAGCAGGATAAAATCCAAACAGCTGAGCTTGGCATTTGACACCTTTAATGTGATACAATCTACCTCCTATCTTTTTCACACTAGTCAAGTTGATCAATACCTACCACTTCCCCCTACTTTGAACATGTTTATTTCTGCCTTTGCTTCATTTTCAGCCTCTTTTCTTTTCCCATCTTTATAGATCCTATTTGTTTTGTTAATCTTATGATCGTCTCCTCTTTTAATGTTTGGTATGTTTTATCTGCAGTCACATATTGCCTACCTGTTACTGCTTAGCTTTTCTTGTAATCCTCATTTAGAGTGGTATCTTACTTTAACAAAGCCGTTTCTCAGTTTCTCATTCATTTAACGTAGGGGTTCTCACCCTTTTTAAACAGAGGGCCAGTTCATTGTCCCTCACTGTTGTAGGGCCGGACTATAGTTTAAAAAAAACTATGAACAAATTCCTATGCTCACTGCATATATCTTATTTTGAAGTAAAAAAACAAACGGGCAAAAACACCCACATGTGGCCCATGGGCCATAGTTTGAGGACACCTGATTTAACGGTTTAGTGTGAGTGTCCTTCCATCCTGTGTCCCTGCAATTCCTTAAGGGCTTTTTTGGCAGTAAAGTAAAGTGAGAGTAGGAAAGTAATACTACTTAACATCTGCAATGACACCCATCAGTTACACTCACAGTTCAGTGGGAGAACTAATCACGGCGGGGGTGTGGGGGCGCTGAATGTAAAGGGATCTGGGAAATGTTCTTGACTGAGTTGGCTTCCCGTTGATAACTATTCCATAACAATAGGGTTGTGTATTCTGATGTGTTGTTGGCCAGCTCTATCATCTCTTGCCAATGAGATTTTAAACTCTCCTAGTGTACATAGAAACTCTAGCATATTTTTTTATAAACAGTACTCTCAATCACCTCATATGGTGCTTGCATGTAGGAGGTTTCACTAAATATTTAAGTGATATAGTTACAGAACAAAAAGATAAACTGGAGTAGGTTAAACGTTAAGTACTTTGAGTCTGATAGTAAGCAGACTTACTTGGAATCCTATCTATACAAATTATTAACTGGGTGACTTAGGATGTTATTTATCCTGTGTTCTTCAAATGGGGCTGATAATAGTACTTACTACATGAGGCTGTTGTGAAGATGAATGCTTGGCATATAGTAAGCCCTCAGTAAAAGCTAGTTATTATTAATAAACACATCAAGTTTCTTTACTGGTGATCTTTAAGAAAGATTAAGTAAACTGTCATGTCGTACCTTCTGATAGAAGTGGATTAGAACTATCTACCAGGCTTCCTGTGATAGGTTAGGATTCAGGATACCTGTATTGGAGTCCAGAACTTACTATTGTATGACTTGGGCAAGTCATAAAACCTGTGGGTTTTTGATTTTGTCATCTTTTTATTTTCACCTGTCATGAGTTATGAATTATACAATCAAATCATTAGGAAGATGTGTGTGACATTATGACTTGTTGAAATATCAGGGAGATACTGTTTAATAAAACTGAAATTATCCAGGTGTTTCCATTTTCAGTATTGTTTAATACTGATGATGTTAAGTATTAATTTGAAAAATATTGCAATCCCAAAGGGTCCCCTCAACCCCCATCAGAATTCATATTGAGAGTGATACAGACACTGAATTGAAAACATTTTCAGAGTAAGATTTTGTTTGTCTTGTAGGCATTTTGTTCCCAACATCACCTTTGGTCACCCTGTGGTAGAAAGCCTCCGAAAGCAGCTAGGCCAGGACCCTTTCTTTGGTAAGTGGGTGTTATGCCATCTGAAGCTGGATGTGTTGTTCAAGTAAAGGAAAAATGGATGATTGATTTCTTAACTACTTCCAAGTTCATCAAGTACACCCTTGCCCTGCTCCTGGGGGGCTTTGTTGGCCTGATTCCAGTAAGTGAGCCAACCCAATGTTTTCTTGCCCCAAGGCTGTGGCACTTCCTATTTTCTGCCTGGAAAGCTATTAGCTTGGCCTCCTTCCTCGTCTTTGGGCCTTAGGTCATTTGCACAGGATTTTCTGAGCACCCTATCCTAAATTAACCTTTATCCAATTATCTTACCACCTTGTTGGTTTTTTTTCCTTAGAATTTCTTTCAATCAAGATTACCTTTATCAGACTATATACTCTATGAGGGATTGAGTACATCTTGTTTGCTGTGGTTTTCCTAAAGCTAGGCATAGCCACATTTTTGGGGTTCATTATAATTATTAAATGAATTTATGAATTAGTTGATTGGCTTATGGTCTAGAAGCTGTTTATTTCATGCAAATTGGAGTTTCCTACAAGTGGAGCCTAAATATTATCTATTCTAATATCATAAGACAATGTGAATTAGGATTTTTAAGATTATGTAGATTGGGTGTGATGGCTCAGACCTATAATCCCAGCACTTTGGGAGGCTGAGGTGGGGTATTGCTTGAGGCCAGCCTGAGCAATATAGTGAGATCCCATCTCTACAAAAGAAATTTTTTTAAATTAGCCTGGTAGCATAAGCCTGTAGTCCCAGCTACCTGGGGGGCTGAGATGGAGGATCATTTGACCCCACACGTTTGAGGTTGCAGTGAGCTATGATGATGTCACGGCACTCCAACCTGGTCACCAGAGGGGGACATTATCTCAAAAAAAAAAAAAATGATAGTGACCTGGTAGTTACTTCACATGGAACATAGATTCAGTCCTCATATTTTTATCGTGTTATACTAAATTAGCAATGCCTCACTTGCCAAATGTTGTATATATCAGAAATTTTACAAGTTTTTGTAAATAGTGCTTTTATGTAGCTATTGGAATTTAGTAGAACTTAGTTTTGTTTTTTTTAATCAGTATATCGTGGACCAGTTTTATGAAGGAGTCTGTGATGTTCAGTATGCCACATGTAGCTATTTAAATTTAAATTAAGTAAATTTAAAAATTCAGTTTCACATTCACCACATAGCAAATTTTAAGTAGCCACATGTTTGTACAGTGCAGCAGTGGAATATTTCTGTCATCACAGAAGGTTCTGTTGTATAGAGCCTCCTTTGTAGAGGCTCTTTGTAGGATCCATCTACTTTGAGTGCACCAAAGAAAATGTGCATTACCACCTCATTTATGTGGCATGGGAAACAGTGTTCCACCAACATATTTATCATTTTGAAATTTCCAGTAGTGGAATATAATTTTCTGATTATCTAAAGTCTTTTTTTTAAAACTACATTTTGGATGTAAAAATTTACGTGAATTTTCCAAAATAAGTTTCTTAACCTTATACCAGATACCATGACTTTTTCTGTGAATTAAAGTTCTTTTCATGACTATGAGAGGTAGACGAAATAAATAACATTGTTTGCTTCTCCTCTACAGTGCCACAGAGTCCTCTGCTTCTGGCTTTCTTGTGTGAATTTAAATTTTTTTTTATTTTTTATTTTTTCCTTTTTTCTCTCTTTTATTTGGGTTCCTTTTGTCACATCTCTATGCGTTTCCTTTTACCAATCCTACTGCCACCACCACACACAATCTGCTTTTTCTTTCTGTTTTTAGTTTGTTGTTAGCTGATAAACTTGCTAATTAATCTTTCTAGAATTTGCCCGTACAGATGAATGAACTCCATGTGCTTTAATATTTGGGTTTATAACCTTTGTCATTTTTATATTAAGAAGTGTTTGTTTAATTCTTAGATCTTGGTTGTTGGATAAGTGATGCATGAATGTGTACTAGTAACTAGATCACATGTTTGTTGTATAACTGCTAAAATTTTAACTGTTCAGTTTTAGTATTGAGTAGAAATAACCTCATAAGAAGTAGTGATAGGAAAAAGTCTGTTCTTGTTATTCTCTCAATCAGTGATCCTCAAGTGTAATATAAGGACCCATGGAAATCCTTAAGACCCTTTCAGATCATGCATGAGGATATCAAAACTATTTTTATAATGCTAAGGTATTATTAGGCACTATCTGTGCTGGTGATGCAAAAGCAGTGGTGAATTAGTTTGGTGGTGCCTTAAGGCAAATCCAGGCAGTGGTATTGAACTATACCAGTGATCATATTCTTTATCGCCATGTTCTTGCAGTAAACATCCTTGATGAAGCAGTACAAATTATTTTAATAAATCTTTGTCCTTGAATACATGTCTTTTTATATATTTTGTGTGACAGGATAGGAAGTAGATATGAAGCACTTCTCCTGCATATTAGGACATAATGGTTTTCTCATGGAAAACCGCTTGTACCATAGTTTTGAATTATGATCTTAAGTAGCTGCTTTTTTCATGAACACTGTTTTACTCCTAAGAACAACTGGCAGATGAACTCTGGTTTTTCAGATTTGGCTATTTTACCAAAATTTTCTTTAAAATAAACTGAGACTGTCACTTCAAGAAAGATACCTTGTCATTTTTGGTTGTCACTGATATAGTTAGAGCTTGGAAGGGAAAATTAGAATTTTGGAAAACTTGTATTTTACCACTGTGAGCTTGACAGCTTCCCAATACTTAACAGATTTTCCAGTGAGATCCATAGTGATTTTAACAAATGTAATTTTGGGGTAATATGGAATGAAATCTATTACTATTTAGAAGATCTGTGTATCTCAGTGAACCAATACTTAAAAGATCTATTTAAATATAAGATAAAACAGGTTTTAATGTAACAAAGTACGACAAGTTCACTGATAAAATTTACAGATTACACGTTGCAGCTAACTTTTATAAAACTACCACTTACTGAGTTTTAGTATAGAATCAGGGTGATATCCATACTTATCTGAAAAGGCTATTAATATACTGCTGTCTTTTTCATGCAATTTTCTCCTCCTTTTTCTTAATGAAAACAATATATAAACAGTCCCCGACTTGATGGTTTGACTTACAATTTTTTGACTTTATGATGGTGTGAAAGTAATACTTATTCAGGAGGAACCACACTTCCAAACCTATACAACCATTTTGTTTTTCACTTTCAGTACAGTATTCAGTAAATTACATGAGATATTCAGCAATGTATTATAAAATAGGCTTTGTGTTTGATAATTTTGCCCAACTATAGGCTAATGTAAGTGTCATGAGCACATTTAAGATAGGCTAGGCTAAGTTATTATGGTGTTCTGTAGGTTAGGTGTATTAAATGCATTTTTATTTACAATATTTTCAATTTGCAATGGGTTTTATTGGGACGTAACCCCATTCTAAGTCGTGGAGCAGTTATATTGCAACAGATTGGATGCAGAACAGATAGGAATGTCTTCTGTTAAGCCAGACATTCAAGATGTGTAAAGATGTAAAACAACACTCTTAATTTACATGGAATAGATTCATTATTATTATTTTTAAATGAGTTAATATGTAGATACTTTAGAATGTCTTAGTTTGAATTTCTAATGCAGTAAATATTTATAAATATAACCTACAGCAACAAAAGTTTCTTGGGATCTTTAATAATTTTTAAGAGTGTAAAGGGAGTGTAATATTAGAATGTTTGAGAACTGCTGATCTTACGTTAACTGTAGGCAGATTTGCTGAAATGTTTACTCCCTGAACAATGTGAAGATTTTCTAGTGAGGGTTGCCAGTGGTTCTACATGCTAGAGATTGAGTAAGGATGACTAGCAGTCTGGTAACTGAAGGAATGAATGAACTAGATATGTTAAACCAGATTCAATTTGCCTTATTTAAAATACAAAGGAAGAAATACTAGATTGAATATATTTTTTAAGAATAAAGTTTTACCTATTAAAATATGTTCTAATTTAATTACTTTTTCTGGTTTAAAATGTGAGCTTTAATCATGGCTTTATTAGTCAAACTTTATATGCTCTTTTACTGACATTTTTTTTCAGAGCTTTATTGCATTTTATGATCTTCGAGTTCTGGAATGTTAGAATTTTTTTCTTAAATGTAGTTTAGCTATGTTAAAATGTGCTTCCTCTAGCCAAACATAAAGCTCAAAAACTCCTCATACCATCTGTTGAGCACAGGATTGTTCTCAGGGTTATTTCTTGGTTTAGCCTTTTTTAAGTGTCCTTTTCCTTCTCATGAAATGCTATTATGTTCTAAGTTGAGATCTTTAAGAAGGCCATTCCCATTTTTCCCTTATGTGTTTATATGAATTAAGCTTTAGAATTAAAATATCAGGCTTCTTCTAGTCAACATGTCCTTCCTCCTAAATCTGTTCTTACCCCTGCAGTCTTCTCCTCTCAGTTAATTACAGTTCTGTTCTTCTATTAATAGTTGATTAGACCAAAATTCTTGGCCACCATCCTGATTTTCCTCTTAGCCTCCACATCTAATCCATCAGCTACTCTGTTGGCTCTAATTTCAGAACATATCCATCCTCAATTGCTGCCATAATTTTCCCCTGGATTATTGCCATAGTAGCCTCCTTAGTCAGATCTTGTCACTTATTCACTCAACATCCTGTTCTGTTTTTCCTATCTCTTTGGGAGTAAAACCCAATGGCCTGCAGAGCTCTGTGCTTTTTCTCCTCACCACACGCCTCTCTGACCTGATGGGTGCATCCCCTGCCCTAACCTCAATTGACCTTATTTACTGTCAACCTGGTGTGCATTTTGTTTATTGTTTGTTTTTCACTGAGAATGTAATTCCTGTGACAACAGATTTTTGCCTGTCTTTGTTCTGTCTCTAGGGCCTATAATAGTTCATGGTGTAGTAATTGCTCAGTAAATGTTTGAAAGAATTTGATTTAGCTTTCTTAGAGAAAATGAGGCTACACAGATAATATACCTTCTTTAACTTTTTTTGAGTGGCATTTCTGGGACCTCCACCTGGGTTTCTTGATTTCTGATCATTAACTTTTCATATATAGCACCATATGCTTTTTGTGGAAAAGTGTTTTTTCATAAATGAATTTAACCATGACCTTGTCTTTAGGATAAAGGGAAACTATACTAAAGCAGTACTATTTAACAATTTTTGTGATACTAAAGAGTTTATGTCTGAAATGGCAAAAATACAGGCTGGCTTCAATAATATGAGCCAGGTATTTTCCTTTCGGTAATATTTAGATGTGTCTTTTCTTTCTAGACATGCACATGATGGTGGCCAGGCCGGAACAGTGGGTAAAGCCAATGGCTGTAGCAGGAGCCAATCAGTACACCTTTCATCTTGAGGCGACTGAGAACCCAGGGGCTTTAATTAAAGACATTCGGGAGAATGGAATGAAAGTAAGAAATCAGTGATGACAGTTATGTTTTATACCATTCACTTTCAGAGTTTGCAAAATAGGAATTGATAGCTGTAGAAGACCCGACTTAAACAGCTGTTCTTCAGCAGTGACTTGTTTGTCAGATAGATAGGATTTATGTATTTCAGTAATGTTTTCTGACCTTTAGGAAACATTTACATTTAATAGCCTTGTTAACTTTTTTTTTAGACTGAGGTAGTAGTCTGAATAATTTATATACTCCCTTTATTGTTCTACTTTGTAAGAATAGATATTTCTACTGGGCCTGCTATGCCACAATAATATAATACAGAAATAACTGTTAATGTGATGTAGCAAATTTATCTCTGTTGCAGGTTGGCCTTGCCATCAAACCAGGAACTACGGTTGAGTATTTGGCACCATGGGCTAATCAAATAGATATGGCCTTGGTTATGACAGTGGAACCTGGGTTTGGAGGGCAGAAATTCATGGAAGATATGATGCCAAAGGTAAAAAAAGTATTTGATTCTAGAGTGAAGCTTTTACTGTATGTGTTCATTCAGTAAGCATATATTGAAAGGCTTATATGTTAGACATGTCCTGTTCTGAAAGTGAGTAGATAAGGATGTCTGCAGATCATTCTAATACAGTATGATAAGTACTGTAGTAGATTTAGCTTTGGAAATTAGAAAAGGTATTATTTATCTTGTAATTTTCTTTCAAAGCCATTATCTCTATAACCTTTAGATCTCTTAGAAGTTTTCATTAACTATTGAGGGTTTGTCTTTGTCTTGATTCTATAACATATAGTTTCTGCAGTGACACGATAAATTGAATTCTAGAGTGTTCCTCAATAATACATTGTATTGATATAGTTAGTGTGTGAGATATTTGGACTTTTAATGGCTAATATTGGCTGTTTGACTTTATTTGGTTGTTTTGGTTGTTTTTTCCACCAAATATCCACTTTAGGAGTTACTTATTTCCTCATGTATATCTAGGTTCACTGGTTGAGGACCCAGTTCCCATCTTTGGATATAGAGGTCGATGGTGGAGTAGGTCCTGACACTGTCCATAAGTGTGCAGAGGTGAGATTGCTCCTAAGTTATAACTAGGCCAATTTCCTGTCAAATATAATCTCCAGGACATTGTCTCATGGGACAAAGGGAATTCCTGTGGTTCCTAAATTGACTTTTTTTCTTAGAAAAGTATTTTTTACTTACATGTAGAATTAGGAAAATAAGGAGCAGTAAGTTAATATTCTAAAATCACATAAATTGTTAAATAGTAAATCCTGGTTGTCTCAGTAATGCTGAAGAAAGTCCTTTTTTAAAAAAGAATATGTTAAGTGTCAGCCTGTTGGAAGATCATTAAGTGACATCTTGGAGTGAGAAATTTTTGCAAAATAGGGAAACTCCTTATCAAGGGGGGTGTGGGGAATAAAGAAATCTAGTAGACCTAATTATTATGTTGTCCGTTAGAACCTAGGTGTATTAGTTACCTATTTGTCCCATGTAAGAATGAACTAAAACCATTTTTGATGAAAATCTAGGCCTGGCATCCTTTGGCCGTATATGTAGAGGTGAGATAAGTTTTTTGTTTTGGTTTTTTCCTTCCCTCAGCTAGTTGATCTTAGGCTTCTGAAGGGCTTCTTGTAGCACCATGAGTGATTAAAGCTTACATGACCTGCTTTTTATTCAGCAATGTGGTATATCTGTACTTTTAGGTTCTTGTGTAACTGCCATACTTCTCTGTTTAATACATACCCATCAAAAGCTTGGCAGTAATAAATATGCAAGAGGGGCTGACCAGATCAATAAGCATATGTCCTCTGGTTCTTGTGGTTAACTGTGCTTTGCCATTATGCTATTCTTAACTTAGCTGAAGAGATGTGTTAAAGGTTAACCCTATAAAACTCATTGTTACAATTTCTATGAGAAATGCTGGAATGTAGTACTCAGTCATAGAGTGACAGTGTTTCACTGGAGAAATTTTCCTCAGCCTCCTCCCCCTTCTCTCCCTTTCTGCTAGCAGTGAATCACATAACAGATTAGGTTTCCATCCTCGAGTCAAATCCTAGGAAGCTCAGAACTAAATTTAGGACCCATCTTAGTAGCTTTCTTTTTTATTTTTTTGCTTCCACTTCTAAAAATAACATCTTAAATCATTTTTAAGCTACCTCAAAACCATTCTGGGGTGCAATGAAGTATAAATAGAAACATTCCATACCTTCTGACACTAAAAATGAGATTACTTAAATTTAATGTTTGCCATATTTTATGGGAAATTTCACATTTTAGCAATAATTGTCCTTACACACTATCTACAAATTCATATAAAAAATTCAAAGATTAAAAGACTTTTTTTTAGTAGTTGTGAGCCATTGGTATATATTGCCAAAAACCTTAATGAAATTGAGGATTAAAGGGTTTTAAACTTTATCTAATTAGCAAAGATGCCAGGTAGCTTATTTAGAATTCGTTTACCAAAAAGTTCAGTGATTTCTTAGACACATTAAAAAATAATTTCATATCCTCATTTGTGAACATTTTAACTTCTTTCCTTATTGAACTAGATTGCTTAACTCTGCTCATCTCAAAGCAGCTTTCATATGAATACAGTTAAGGTATTGACAAATGCAAGAGTAGAAACTCTAGTCTAGGAATTCTGTTTTAGGTTCTTCTGCATCTTTCTTTCAGGCATAACCTAAATGTTTACTTCTTCCAGGCAGGAGCTAACATGATTGTGTCTGGCAGTGCCATTATGAGGAGTGAAGACCCCAGATCCGTGATCAACCTGTTAAGAAATGTTTGCTCAGAAGCTGCTCAGAAACGTTCTCTTGATCGATGAAACCATAAGGAGCCCAGTGTTTCTGCTCATGAATTCTCTATTGTAAAACAGGAATATTGACTACCAAATCATATTGCAGTTGAGGCAGTACTGTTTTTCAAAGCAATTATTCATTCCAGTGATTAAAATCTATTGTGCAGAATGTTCTAAGAGGTTAGCAATTGGTGTGTATAACTGCATTTTTAGTCATGCAATTTAAAGATTAATGTAGTGAAATACTCAGTTTTTACTGGGAGACTTGATTTTTATGAAGAGTAAAAATAGTCTGTATTAAGGTTACAAATAGAAATGTGTCTTAATGCCTAAGGGAGGGCATATTAGCTATATGAAAAAAATTTTTTTGTATTTCTAAGAAAAATTTTCTGTTTCTCAGCTGTTTTCCAAATGCAAAGGAAATCCTTATGTTTTTCCTATTTCATGTCATTTGTGATTTGTTTATATGCTTGATAATATGAGAAGAATGGAATTTAAAAATATAAGCTTGGGTGGGATGGCATACCATATTATTGCATCTAAAACATTTATTTTTACCTTATACTTGACTCATAAAAAGTATAAAAACAAATATATGAAGCCCAGGGGTTCTAAAATACAAGCATAGATTTTATCAGGGTGTTTTCTTTGTCAAAAGCAGGTTATTCGGTGATTCCTCACCCCTGGTTTTCTCTAATCTCACCCACCATTCTTAAGAACATTGAATAACGCTGTTGTGTTAGCTCTACGTAGAAAGGAGAAAAGTAAAGCCTCTATCTGGAAATAATATTGGGTTGAATTCCGACTCTTTCCCTCTCTAGCTATTTAACCTTAACAAATCACCCAAACTTTTTTGTGCTTTTCTTAACTCACTTATACATTGAATGTAATTATAACAACTCTGAGGTGGTGTTGAGGATTTAAAAAGGTAATAGCATATATGTGAAGTTTCTAGTACTATTCCTAGAATTTAGAAGATGCTCAATACAAAGTGGCTAGAATCATATAAGTTTATATTTTGTGGGCTATAAAGTTCTTTGATATTTGCTTATTAAATCTATAAATCACTCTTGTAAGTGGTAGTAAGGCAGGTATTTTTGTTGTCATTTTAAAAATGAAGAAACTAAAGCTCAGCAATAGGATGGTACCATGGAAAGGATCCTACTGGCATAGGATTTCTGATCTGTACTCTTACTACAATTAGAACCCATGGGAAGTGGGTTAGGCAAAAGAAGCTTCTTTTTATTTAACATTGTCTTATTTCCAGTCTAACTTTATCCTGTAGCAGAATCAGATGGCTGAAAATATTCTGGAACTATGGATCTTGACCCCAAGGATATATATTTTATACCAAGAAAGACCAGGTAGGCTAAAAGATGATAGGGTCTAGAGTTAATCTATAAACTAAATATTTATAACTGTGTTTGAAATTATAGAGACTACAAATATGTGTCGGCTACTTGTATTTCTTATAAATACTCTTGCTATATAATAAATGCAGCCAAAAAAATAACAGGACCAATATCATTAAACTTCTGGGGTATTATGAGTTTTGAGAAATAAAGTTTGCAAAATAAGAATGCTAACACTTAAGCATAGAATAGAGTTTGCTTGGGTTTTTTCTTACATTATTAGGTAATAATTTGTTTCTTAATGTTTATTTTTATTTTGGCTTAGGAAAGGTTTATACCAGGAATAGGTGGTATTTAATCAAATCAGACAACACAAGGCATATAGAAATAACTTTAATTAAAAAATTTACATAGAAGATTATAATATGAGACATGACAAAGATTTGAATTTATTTGCCTGGACAATTTGGGTTTGTCTGGCTTTTGTTTTTTTTTATTTTTTGTTTTGTTTTTTTTTTTCTTTAAAAATAAATGTACAGTAAAACTACCAGCAAAAGTTTGTCAGTATTGAATTTGAATTTATTTTTTCCCTAAAAGGACCAGTATAATTTCTAATGCCTGGCTAAAACTTAGTGTCAAACCCCATAGAGTAGGCCAGATGGCCACGATTTTCAGTTGTATGGGTACTACAACTTGAATAACTTTTTTTACATGACAAAAGTGATTTATATAAATTGTCCTCAACTTTCACATAGAAAAAATGGTATAATAGCTTCTAAAGGAATTTTTATTAATGTCTACTCTTCAGTATCTAATAATGAAGCATCATCCTTTGAAAAATTTTAATTCTCAATGTAGGATGCAAGGAGGAATAGATGCTTATTTGAATAGAGTAAGCGATGTCGAGGAATGACCACATTAGCTAGAAATACAACCATTTTAAAAAAATTTTATACTGATAGGACTTTCCTATTTGTTGCTCATTTTAACTCTAATATGCTTGCTTATTCTGTTAGGAGTGAACAGAAAGCCTGTGGTTAGTCCAACAGATATCAGTGATTTTTGAATAAAGGAATATTGTGTTATCTGGTATAAGAATTTCCATATATAACTTCTGCTACTGGTTAAACATGTTAAAAAAAAAACAACACCAAAACTTCCTCTCTCTATTCAAGACTTAGATGTCTTTATCAGTAGAAACGTGTGCTTTATATATGCAGCTTACATTAGCTTACTTCAGGGTAGTTCATACATGCATTTCCAAGTGGAGTGGGTCATTGCCAGTGTTTTTTAAAAACTACATACGTGTATGTGTGCATATGTATATATATTTTATACATATATATTTGTATACTCTAATATATTTCTGAGGCAATTTTAATGAGTTGCTATGTGTACAGAAAAGAATAGTTGTCATTTGATGCACAGATTTGTGTGTGTGAGTGAGTGAGAGTGTATGGTCTTAAAAATTACCTGGTAATGTGATTGGCCATCAGTTGCAACAGTTAATATCTTGGTGCTTGTAATTTGCATGATAAACACAAATGACTAGCACTTGTCTGTAAATGCAAAGCTAGTTACTCCTGTGGTTCATGAATGAAAAAGAGACTTCTCTTGCCTGTTTCATAAACAGCATAAAAGATTAATACATGCAGTACATGCTCTTGTTCTGGAATAAGAATTCCAGGGCATGGGGGATCCAGAACAAGGATCCCCCATGCCCTTTTCCTTTCTTCCCTTCATTTACATAGTTTGCTTAACCTGTTCCCTGTCACCTATTTTTTTTAACATTAGTATGTCCTAGACCAAAGGTTCTGTACTCTTCCATTTCGTCTGACTGCTTTTTTGCGTGGTGGCCATTCTCTGGTGCACTGGTACAGAAGATTTCACCATGGAAAACTGTGCTTGACCCTTCAGTCTGATCCTTTTTTTCATCTTGGCATAATAAGGCTGCTGCATCTTCATCCTTCAGTGGAAAAGCCCGTCGTTCCCACCACAAAGACTGAAAGGGGAAACATTTTCAGTTAAGTTTCAACTAATTTGTTTTGTTTAGATTCATCTATCAAGTAATGTGTAAATGTCAATTTTTGTAATAACTATTATTCTGGTCTTTTAGCATATAAATGTACAAATTTTCACTTGAACTTAAGTATCTAGCAACTCAAAATGAAAGTATTGGGAATTGTTCAGTGACCTTTAGTAATTATTTCTTCACTTTGCCTCTGCCAAAAAGAGGAAATGCTGTCATAGGGCACTGGTCTACATTTTCAGCCTGAGAGCACTTTGGGAAAGCTCTTTAAAAGTCTTTTAAAGTTTGATCTACTTCAGTATCATTTTTATCCTATCATTATTACAAATACCTATTGACATTTTTTTTTCCTGAGCTTTCTACAACTTGCCTATTAATTTCTATAGTCTCTACTCTCTCCATTCTAGATTTGGTTCCTCTTTTTCAACACCTATTTATGAAGAAAGGTGCACGGACTTTATGGATGCAGTGTTAGAAAACACTCCCCTTGAGGTAGGCACTGGATCTATGGGGAGACAAATAAAAATCTTATATGTAAGCAGGAAGAGAAATAGTAGCTCACAGTGACTGTGTACCAGGTTCTATTCTGCCTTAATCAGCTTTGTTTTGTAATGAAACTTTGACAGTATCCCCATTTCCTAATAGATAAGTGAGTAGGTGGAAGTTGGTACTGATATGTTACACAAAAAGATTAATTGTAGTTAGTGATGGAACTAGATTGCTGGAATGCAGACTTTGGTTCTTACCCACCATTCTCTATTGAATTGTCTTACTGAATTTATGTGATGATGAAACTTAATTTGTAACAAGCAGTTTTTACAAACAAGTAAAAGGTTAAAAGGCAAGGAAAAGGAAGTTTATTATATATATTACACTCACCTTGATTTCTTGACTTGGATTTAAAGAAGGTGAACCACGTGCACACAGGTCATAGCTCTCAGAAAGCAGCTCAGGAGGACTTTCAGCAGCACATTGCTGACTGCTATTCAAGTAATTTGGATATTCTTTCAAAAGCAATTCCTGTCCTTCAACATTTTTACTGTAGGCTCTAGCAAGAAAATCAGGAAAACATATCATTGCTTGTTATTTTTTGAGGTCTTAAATTTTATGAACAATCCAAGGTATCACTAAGTCAACTAAACTTGATAGCTTTTCTTTAAACAGTTCTACCCAAAATATTTTTTAAAATTCATCAGATGAACTTCCTGATGCTATTATTTTCATAGCTCAAAGGATTAAATAATACTTTTTGAAATATTTTAAGAAATTATAATAGTGAGTTTTTTTGTTTATGTGGTTTGCTTTTATTTTTTGGAAGACAACAAAGCACAATTACTTGACCTTTATAGACTTTCTGAGTTCCCAGGGTGTTCTGTAATTATTGTAATGTCATCCATGAAGGACTCAATTCACATTTTCCTCTGTACTTTTAGAAAGTTTTATCTCTGGAATGTAGAAAAAAGTGAGAATTCCAGAATCTCATTATGTTAGGAGAACTCTTGGAATAAGGATCTACAGCAAATCTGGAAATTTTGAAACCTAAACAGAGAAATGTGTTTTAATCTAATTATAAATGAGAGATACTCTTTAACTAAAGTGACTACCAGACTTCACATGATCTTACTTTGTGAGTTTTGGCTATATCAAAAATACTCAAATGTAAATATAAAATACCAGAGATTTTCTCAAATATATAATTACTAATTGTGTCTATGACTTATTCCACCTTGGCTCAAAGCCTATTTCTTTTTTTTTAATACACCGATCCACACACAGATTGTGTTTTTAAAAGTATTTTAGACTACTTGCTTTTTAAATTGGATAGGTTTCTTGAGAACATTTTTTTTTTTTTAAGAAAAACGTATTTTTGAAGTAGTTATGTAAAAATGGACTACCCAAATTCCAGTCCCCAGTGTTAGGTTCACTATTACAGTAGGTTGAAGTGACCTACTTTATATTAGGAAATATTCATATTATTTGCTAGTTAAATCTATTCCCGAGGCTGACAATAATCATGAGAAATGATTGTAGTAAAACATAGAAACTCTTTTCATCATCATGTAATTCACCTAAATATATTTTGAATATAAGTTCAATGTATGTAGTGTTTTACTTTTGGGGCACAAATAGCTGATGTTACATAATTATGTTTTCCTTTTTAGTGGTCTTCCCCTAGAATTCATGAAGAATTTTTGTTCATTCCACATGGATTCCATGGGTTTGGATTTTAAATTTATAACACTTGCCTGCTGTTTCTTCTATGCCACTTGCTTTGCTCCCATAGTGACCACCTGGCTTGCTCTCTCTCTTCATATTTTTTGTGTCTTAGGGAGAAGACTTCATCAGAAAGATCTTCTATCTGTGATGAGAATTAAAGATTTTTTCTTTAATCAGAAACATTTTGAAATACGAAAATAAATTTCAAACAATTCCTCATCTAGAGAACAATAACCAAACTCTAAATGCATTCTATGTAAGTTGAGAAAACAAATACAAGATGAGCTTCAAATTCCTGAAAAAAAGGAGTCAAAAACTTTAAGTACCTATTCATGTTTGAAGACATACCTAGATTATAAATGAGTTCCCAGTGCTTTCCATTTGCCACAGCTTACATCAGATAATCATAATGCTTCATTTTTTTCAGTGCTTTTTATTGATTGCCCATTATGGAGCATACATTGTTCTAGGTACATGTTAATAGCAAAGAAAACTAAAACTGATTATCTGAGATAAATCAGAATTAATTTAATGAATGATTTGTCTGAAGTTCTAACCTGGAAAACTACTTTGGTAGTGTTAAAGAATTTGGATTTCCTGGCTAGGATCATTCAGCAGGAAAGAAGAGTATATTAGAGAAGGGAAAAGCATTAAAAGGTAAATTTTAGTTGTTAAAAAACATGACCACCAGGCATAGAAAGATTGTTACTTGGCAGAAACCAAGTGTCTTTAACATAATACTGCTTCTAGAGACCATCACTTTGGAATTAGTTATACAGTATTTTTCCCTATAATTTTTCTTATCTTAATGTAATTTTATCCTTACAGGCCTATAGTGCCATACCTGTAATTCCAAAATCCAAACAGGTTTTTCATAATTTTGTGACACAGCCTGATTTGATATGATGTGAGGCTATTTTTAGTGTTTATCCCAATTGTGAATATTTCACTACAGAAACATTAATGTTACAAGAATTGTCCTAGACTTTATGGGTATTACATGACATACCCACCACATTACTTTTATGTAGTCTAAAAATTCAAAAGCAAATTGACCCTAAGATTCTGAAAATGACACTATAGACTTGAGTCAGTGAGGCTAAATCTCCTCATGCAGAAAAATATGATTAGTACTGAGAATGAATGTAAATATTCATATAAATTCGATATCTCCAAAGCTCATCTAAATAAGTGGTATATTTTTGCTTTTAAAAATTCCTTTATATATTTGTGGTCAGATTTGCACAAAAATGTCATTTTTCTAACTGAATTAATATCTATTTTGAAAAACTTTCATAAGTGAAAAGAAAAAGATCAGTAGAATTTATTTATTTATTTATTGAGACAGAGTCTTTGTTGCCCAGGCTAGATAGAGTGAGTGCCGTGGCATCAGCCTAGCTCACAGCAACCTCAAACTGCTGGGCTCAAGCAATCCTACTGCCTCAGCCTCCCAAGTAGCTGGGACTACAGGCATACGCCATCATGCCCGGCTAATTTTTTCTATATATATTAGTTGGCCAATTAATTTCTTTCTATTTGGGTCTCACTCTTGCTCAGGCTGGTTTCTAACTCCTGACCTTGAGCAATCCGGCTGCCTCGGCCTCCCAGAGTGCTAGGATTACAGGCGTGAGCCATGGCACCTGGCCAAGATCAATAGAATTTAAAGGGTTTATATTTTCCTTTAGTTCCTTTAACATCAAAATAAACAGGCTTCATAATATATAATGTACAATTATCCCATGAAATGAAAGGCAACTTACCTCTTCTTCACCCAAATTATGTTCATCCAATGGCTGAAGAACAACCATCCTCCAGCTGTTGAAGATACAAATCAATTTCAGATAGTTTTTATTAATCTGTTTAAATGTAGCGATTTTATTCTGTAAGCACAGCTAGATGTATAGAGGGTTTTCTTTCCTTGGGACTTCCATAATTCAAAAGGTTGTATTTTAATACTTTATTTTTTTAAGGAGAAAAAAAATATTTGTATTATGTAAACAGGACAAGGAGAAGATAAAGCTTTATTTTTGGCCTTACAGTGAGCAGTCTGTTCTATAGCTGCATTTTATACACAATACATATGTACTGACTCTGAATTAAGTTAGTGATATATGGATAAACTTGCTCAGCCCAAAAAAGGCAGGGTGGGGAGGAGAAAAGCCCTGATTTGTAGTGTTTTCCAATATCTTTGATGTGAACAAACACACCTATCATGGCCCCTTTCGAGCTACCAATAATTTAACAACTGGGTCACAGAACTCTTCTATATTTAACTTTCAGCTACTCTAGCCTACCATTGCAAACTCTAAAACATTTTTGCTATTACAGAGCATCGTAACCACAAATGTTATTCCTTATGTAGAAAGTATCAACATATTCTTTATAGGAGTTCTCATAATAACCTCCTAGACTATTAGAGTTCTCTTAATACCTCAAAGTAATTATGAAGAGAAGTTATGAAATTAGAATAGAAATATAGGAATTAAATGTCATCACCCATCTCATGTCTCTGTTTCCAACCTTTTCAATCTTTACTTCTTGGTGCCATGTTCATATTCTTAAGAAACTGCTTTCATCACTGCTAAAAATTTGGCTGACTTCATTCCCAGTAGAAAGCAGATATATATGGCATTCAGGGACCTCCACAATATGGCTCTAACTTTTTTAGCTTTAATTTCTTTGTCGACCTACACAAAACCTCAGTATCTGGGTAAGCCTTACATGCATGTCTATGTGCCTTTGTTGTGGTCTCCCTATGTAACCACCCTTTCCAACCTTTCTCTTCCTTCATGGGTGTGTTCCCACACCTTCCCACTCATCTTTCTATTTAATCTGTTTATTACAGACTTGCAGTAGATCCAGATCTTATTTTTGTTGTCACAGGTATGCTACTGTCTTTCAGTGTGAATACCCCATGCAAAGGTAGTTGCTTTCTTCTTTAAATTCTTTTTGCAATGTCATGCACACCTTTTATGTTTAATGGCAAGAATTGTCTGTTGCAGTTCTTATGTCACTAAGGTACATTTTCATGCCATATCCATAATAGATACCTAAATATCATTGAAAGAAAAAAGACTCTAAGATACTAAAGTAAATTATTCTAGGAATTTCTAATTCTTAGGAAAACTGAGAAAAATAAAATCATCTCACTGTATGGCACTTTTTCTTCAGCATGAGTAATGTAGTAGTTCCTTTTACCATTTTCCCTCCATGGCTATACAAGAGGGAGTGAGGGGAGGAGCATCTTCCTTTCATTAATTAAAATTCTAATTTCACTGAAGATTTAAGTTTATTAAGGAAGGAAGAAAAATTAAAAGATGTAAGTATACATACCTTGGAGTAAGTATTTCCTTATATTGGAGTTTCTCTAACTTAGCTGGTGCTACTAATGACATAGGAATCACAATGTTATCTATGTCATAAGAGCTCTCACTTCTCAATCTCCGTCGTGTAGTATTCTGCAAAACAGGATTAAAGTGGTTTTACACTTGTGTCTGGTTGCTTGTGATGATACCCTCCTTTCGTGAGTTATATAAAGATAATATGCCATTGTACCTGTTATATAATTTTTGTAAATTCACTGTTATAGAATCTGACTAAAATGTAAGAAAACCAATTAAGAAAATATTCCTGTCTTTAGTAAACGAAACAATCTCTGGGCAGGTGTGTAATGTGTATTTATGTGCTTAAACATAACAAGCTTATTTTTAAGACCATAAATATGAATGCCTTAAAATGTAAAACTCTTACCAAAAATCACTAACATAAAGCACCCACCACAAATGTCAATGAAATGATCATTTAGCAAACTATTAGGAATGGTGATGAAATATTTTTTGATGAGCCCTTTAGTAAAGATCATTATTATAATCTTTGTTTATGTGTCCCTGGTCCCTAAGCTTTAGACTGTCCATTTCTAAACCCTCTCACCTTTTGACTGTTCCATTCCCTGGCCAGATAATAAAAAACAAAACAGTTAACACAAGTCTTAAATTCTCATTAGGAAGACTATATTTAGCTTCATATGTTAAAGAGTAGAGATAATCATGATAAAGTTTAGCCCTTTGCACTTGCTTGCTTTTTTCTCGATTCCTTTATTCTACTTGGGATTTAATTTTTTAAATACCCCAGATTTTACAAAGTGCAGCAGTAGAATAAAAATCTGGAGTTTCTTTTCATACAAACTTATTTATTTGGATTTTTTTTATATTTCAAATTATTGATACATTCAAAGAGTAATTTTAATCTCTATAATTTTTGCTAACCGTGTCGAGTCACACTCAATATCCGAGTGCAAAGGGTTAAGTTTTTAACTCAGAAAAGCAGCTGTAACCAAAGATTAATGAACTATTAGTGTTCTATATAAAAAGCATTATTTAATCATATTGTTTCCTGATAAGATAGTTGTAAATGTGTTAAAATATGCTAGTAAATAAGGCTGTTACAGATTTGCAAAATGATCTATGAATTATTTTTAAAATCAGCTGCTATTATATTCAATATCCCAAAATCCTACCTGTGATGATGAATTCTGGGTTCTTGATAAAACGTTGACATTAGAAACAGCAGTAAAGTTGCTATGGGATTCTGGTACTGTGTGTTGAAAAGCAAATTCTTCAAATCTAGTTCTTTCTCCTGCCATAGAAAGAACCATTGAGAATGTGTCACACATTAAACATGACTGATAGGTATTATTAGAATTATTTTCCTAATTAGGTGACAGGTGATTGATTGCTTATCTTTTTTTTCTTTAATGCATGTTTCAGAAAACAAAAAAATAAGGAAATGGAAAAAGAGGGGCTTTACTCACAAACCTGCCACAAGTATTTCCATTTTCTGAGCTTAGCAGTTTTTGTCCAATGCATTTCATATTTCTTGAATCAGGTCATCCCCACCCTTTATTCTGTTCTTCTGTGACTCTAATTAACAATTGAACCATCACAACTGATCTTAATTTTCTTATCCTTTCATTTTTCATATCTGACTTTTTGTTCTAATTTCTGTGAGGTGTCCTTGATCTTCTGAAACACTCTTGATTTTTGAAAAGTTTCTACTGTTGAAGTACTAATTTCTTTTTTTGTGTTTGTTTGAGACAGGGTCTCACTGTTGCCTGGGATGGAGTGCAGTGGTATAATCATAGCTCATTGCAACTTCACTGGGCTCAGGCAATCCTCCTGCCTCAGCCTTCGAAAGTGCTGGGATTACAGATGTGAGCCACTGTGCCTGGCAAAGTATTATACCAGTTTCTAGGAGTACTTATGTGGTGTTCATTTTTTGTAGTATCCTGTTCTGTCATGGATGAAATTTTTCTTTTCTCTTAGGATATTGATTAGAAGTTTACTTCTGTTGGTATTTTCTGTTTCCTTCAAGTTCTTTTTTCCTGTTTGTTTCAGTTCCTTATTTGTAAGTGTATATTAATGTATTTGTTTATTCACTCATTTACTGCCCTTGTTTATTTTACTTTAGTACAACTTAAAAAGCAATATTTTCATATGTAATGTAAAATCCATATTTACATTTCTCCAGCTGTTAAAAAAATGTCCTTTATGACTAGTTTCTTCAAATCAGGATCCACATACTGAAATTGGTAATTGTCTCCTAGGTTTTTTATAGTTCAGAGTAGTTTTTTGTTTTTAAATGTTATTGCCTTATGACAGAAATGAGATATCCTACACTTTTGGAGTTGTCTATTTGTAGTATATATCATTTACATCTTAGGTAATGTATATTTATTTCATAATTCATCTTATTTTAAGAGGTACTTTTAGTTTTCCTATGTTCTGGTGTGTGTATATGAAAGTTCATGAAAAGCTAGATGATCTTTGGGTATCTGTTCTTAAGAGTGAGACACTAAAAAGCATAATGAAACCTCTGGACATGTGTAGGAATTTGTTAATTTTGTATTCACTATAGTTTGGTCAGATAGTTATTGTCAGTAGTGACTTGGTGTATTATCTGAAGACACTAGAGATAAATATTAAATCGATTGTGTATAATAGTCCAGTATATCTTGGATATAATTAGTTTCTAATTTATCTTGACAGTTATTTTATTTTTTATCATTAGCAGTAACTGTGGCAACTGTCTTCCCCAAGTCTCCACAACAAACCACAATTTGTATTACTAGAAGAGTTCTAATTTCCAAAGATATCTTTTGATCATCTTTGAACTCTTAAGTTCATAGGCTTCTAAGGAGAACTGAACAAGGTAGTTGAGTACTTCAGTTGAATCTTGTCCAAATGCCGTCAAAATCCTGAGGAATCTGCAGTGACTCAGCACCTCCACCGTAGGTACAAGAAATGGTAATTTTTTAAAATTTTATTTTAAGTTATATTTCTTTCTTCTTCTTCTTTTTTTTTTTTATTGACCCCAAGTAAAGACTTTGTAAGGAAATGGTAATTTCTGAAAGGCAGCCTTATACTAGCTTATTTTGAGTTTGGAACACAACTTTGGAGACTAAAATCTGTCCAGAGGACAGTGGTAGAACACAGCTAGGGAACATAGGATGGGAATACTTAATTGCCATAAAGTGGATAGATACCTAACCCACAAATAATTCCGAATTAACTACATGAATATGCTGTTTAATGTTCACAGGGTCATAGATGTTTTATATAATGTAGTGACTGCTGGATTATAAACTCCCATGAGACAGGTTCTTTGAAGATGAGAATTTTTTAATTTTCAATATTTAGCACTATCTCCTATCCTCATTTAACCTACCTAATGCTGTTTCACTCAAATGTCTTTTCTTTCTTCCCTGTAACAGTTGTGTAGAAGATTCTGACCTTATTTGAGGTTTACATGTAGGTGAATATCCATTTCTCCATTGATTCAGAGAAGTGCTATGTACTAAAACAAATGAAAAGGAAATATTAAGTTTTATTAACACAAACAGATAATGAACATGTTAATCTCTTTTTATTTATAACTGCAGAATTTTAAGAAAACAGTTCAAAATTACAGATAGTGAAATAAGTACTTAAACACCAATATAGACAACTCAAAAGTACCTGGAATAGGATTCCTTAAAAACATCTTCAGGAAATACCCAATTTCCTATATTTGCTGCATTTTTGAAGGGGTTTGGAAAGGGAAGTTGATCTATTCTCAAAGTCTTCCAAATTGCAAAATGTATAGACTGAGGATTGGTTCAGATCTGTAAATCTTGGCAGAGTATGATGTGAATCCTTAAATCTGGAGATAATTCAGTACCGAGTAGGATTCAACAGGGTTACAACAGACTGGGATTCCTTGAGAGCAAGAATCAGATTTCATCCACCTCTGAGAGTGACCAGCACTATTTCACTTTTCAAAAACAATGAATTTAACACTGCTTTAAGTCACTTACTATCTCTCTGCCTCAGTTGTCTCATCTGTAAAATAGGGATAACAGCAGCTGTCTTGGGGTTGTGAGGATTAAATGAGTTAATTCTTGTAATAGTAGAAGCATGTCTGACTTGATAAGTGTTCAACAAATGTTAGCTTTATCATAATTGTCTACTTGCACTTCATATTTCAGTACTGGTGTGATAATCACATTGGCTTTTTTGTTTGTTTGTTTTGAGACAGAGTCTCACTCTGTTGCCCAGGCTAGAGTGCCGTGGTGTCAGCCTAGCTCACAGCAACCTCAAACTCCTGGGCTCAAGCAATCCTTCTGCTTCAGCCATAATTTTTTTCTATGTATTTTTAGTTGGCCAATTAATTTCTTTCTATTTTTAGTAGAGATGGGGTCTCACTCTTGCTCAGGCTGGTCTCAATCTCCTGAGCTCAAACAATCCTCCCGCCTGGGCCTCGCAGAGTGCTAGGATTACAGGCGTGAGCCACTGCACCCAGCCACACATTGGCTTCTTTTTTGAAGGGTTTGGAGATGTGGGAAGGAATGGAAAATATATATAGGCTGAAGTGCCAAACTCACAATCACTGAAATAAAGGGCATGGCCTACCAACAGTGACCAGGAGTCTGGTTTTAAGTTGGCAAAGCACCCTAGAAATGATAAACAACATTTTATACATAGGCACAGATATGCACATAATACATCCTCATTTGCAAGCAAAAAGAAGAACTATTTATAAAGCAGAATTTGTGAGAAATTTTTGAAAGACTCATGCCATATGGAATTTGAAGAGGAAATCCAGAGCAGAAGCACAGAAGTTTGTGGTCAACCTGGTGCTGTAGATCAAGAGGAGAGGAAAACTGAGAGCAGGACAATTACTTGGAGCAAATGATATATTGGCTACACCTGCCATTATCTCAGCCATACTAACGGAATTAGAGCTTTGGGCAGAGAAATGGATGGTTGGAGAGATGATGCAATGCCCAAGTGTACCACATTAAAATGTTCTGCCCACCACAACTTGGGAAATTGCAAATGTTGAATATAAATCTCTACCTTGCTTGTTAAAAGGATCCCATAAACAGCAGTGGTAGAAAGATCTTAACAGTGAATATCAACTGCAATGGTGAGCATACAATCAAAACTCCAAAAATCTGAATACCAGCACTGCAAACAAGAGGTACAAACTACAAGTGGAAGAACCATCTTAAGAAATAGTTAATGGAGCATTTACAGAATACAGATTAACATGTCTTTGAAATGACTGATATTGCCAAGAGAAACAGGCAAGGGGCCCTCCAGAGAAATCTCAAATGGAAAGTGTACTTGTTCCAATTTTAAAACGAAATCACTAAGCTGGGCACAATTGCATGCACCTGTATTCTCAGCTACTCAGGGGGCTGAGGTGGGAGGATTGCTTGATCTCAAGAGTTTGAGCCTTGCCTGGGTGACAGAGGAAGACCTGTCTCTTAAGGTGAAAAAAAATAAAAATCACTAACTGGGCTAAGTAACAGAATGGACACAGCTGAAAACCAAAATCAAGGATCTGGAAGAGGAATTCTACAACTTGATGTATATATAGAGTAATGGAAATATAGAGTGGAGTATATAGAAGTATAGAGTAATGGAAAATACGGGAGAAAGAAAAGGCCAAAATGGGGTAACATTCAGGATAGAACAGAGATCATGAAGGGGAGAAAATATTTCAAAGAAATAGTCAAAAATGTTTCCAGAATCAATGATAGTAACCTTAAGATTTCAAAGAATTCACTTGAATGTCAAACAGCAAATGAAAAAAAAAAATCACAACATCACAGATGAAGATGAATCAGATTGACACAGCAAAACTAGATGTAAGAAAACATCGACTTTAAAGAGCTCAGAGAGGCTGGGCACAGTGGCTCACGCCTGTAATCCTAGCACTCTGGGAGGCCGAGGCAGATGGATTGCTCGAGGTCAGGAGTTTGAAACCAGCCTGAGTGAGACCCCATTTCTACTAAAAAAAATAGAAATTAATTGACCAACTAAAAAAATATATATAGAAAAAATTAGCTGGGCATGATGGCACATGCCTGTAGTCCCAGCTACTCAGGAGGCTGAGGCAGTAGGATCACTTGAGCCCACGAGATTGAGGTTGCTGTGAGCTAGGCTGATGCCATGGCACTCACTCTAGCCTGAGCAACATAGTGAGACTCTGTCTATAAATAAATAAATAGCTCAGAGAAAATGATAGCCAGAATTCCTAAAGTGGAATCCCCAAGAAATCCCCAAGATTTCCTACCACCCCAAAAGTAAAAAATGTTAAATAGAAAACAAGATGGCAGGAGTGATTTTAAACTCATGCCTGTTAAGAAGGGTGACTGGAATTGTGAGAGCTAGATTTTAAAATGTGTGCCTGGCACATATAGGGGTTCAAAAAGTTAGTGTCCACTCTTGTTTTAATAGAAATATTTTTCTGTAGCATTTTAATCAAACACCAGACAATTCACCCTCCTATTTTCTACAATCAATTCACCACTCCTAAAAACATCAAACTTTGTGAAGGAATCTTCCACATTAATGAAAATATTTTCACATCATTTTCCTTATTCTTTAGTGTCTTGTAAGGTTTTAGTACATCCTTGAAACAGTAGGAAATGTATGAAATTCAGTCTGACTGCACACATTGTCTTCACCTGTCCTGTTGATAACCATCCCAGCTTTTCAGTTCTTGATCTCCCAAATCCTGTCCTAGAGTCCATCCTAACACCACACCTTGACAGAGCATCTCTCCTGTCTCCTGCCATTACTTCCTTTTTATTTAATCATCTGATAACTATAGAGAGCCAATTAGCATGACAAGCACCATTCTGAATCCTGGGTGAGCATAAGATCTTAGCAGCGAATATCATTGTGGTTTATAGGTGTTTCCACAAAGAATACAACCGTTATGTGTGATAGAAATGAGAAGTACACCATGTAACTTAGAGTGTAGAATAAAGAGCTCTAGGAAGGCTTCCCCAGATAAGTGGTAGATTCTAAGTATGAACAGAAACAGCTGATGGGCAGGGGAAGGAAGAAAGAATAGCATGAGCAATGGCCTAAGGGAGCAGGACAAATTTGGGAACTGAATGGCTATGTAGTGTACATTAAGGGCACAGTGAAACAAAAACATGAGCAGGCAGGAGCCAGTCTGTAGATAGGGCTTTAACCACTTCAATACCGCGCGTACCAGCCGGGAAACCTTGCCCACAGCCAGCACTCAGTCCGCACGATAGTTTGTGCTGTGTATTGACCACAAATCCGTTTTGCTCTTGTGTGATGAGGAAAGATTGAAAGCACCAAAAGCTCGTTTTACTTTAAAGGCAGCTTTACTTGTAATGTAAATCAGAATAGGTAACATATACATATATGTTTTCATTACGTTAGTTTTAAATGTTCACAATTTTATTTTGATAAATGAAAATTAGGAAAGTCATATCATAGCTGTCGGCCAAAGTCGCTGTGCGCGTTCATCTGTGGCTATTGACTATAGTTGACACTCCTACCGACGTGGTTAAGGGTCCTGTATTAAGAATATTCCCTCTCTTAAGTTTGGAATGTGGTGCTTAAAAGAAACATTCCCTCTCAAATGTTTTCAAAGAAATTGGGGTGGGGAACAGGTGTAACATAATTATATTTACATATGAAAAGTTCAATCTGGCTACAGTGATCAAAGGGAAATTAAAAATTGATTAGGAGTCTATTTCAGCAGTGTAGATAGATCATTATGTCGGGCTGTGAAAGTAGAAAAGAAGATAGATTTGAAACAGATGTGTAAGATCATGTTGAGAACTTGGCGATTGGTTTAGATAGGAGGCAGTGTGGGGTAAAGAGACTGCCCTATGTCTGGCTTCCTTGTTTAGGTTATAGTGCTATATTGTGTTTCCTCTCTGGTCTATCCACTCTTTGAAAAACAACCTTTTTATTTTGACATAATCTCAGAATTGCAGAAAACTTGAAATAGTATAATACAAAGAATTACTGTATGTCCGTTATTCATATTTTCCAAATGTTAACTTTTTATCACATTTGCTTTACCTGTCTCTGAACTCAGAGTAAGTTGGTGACATGATGCCCCTTTACCCCTAAATACATCAGTGTGTATTTCTCAAACACGAGGGCATTCTCTCATAGTCACACAGTTGTCAACATTAAAAAATGATTACCATTAGCTAATCTATAGATCTCAACTCAGATTTCACCATATATCCTTACAATGTTATTTATAGAAAATGATCTCTCATTGTGTTCAGTTGACAGGTTTCTTTAAAGTCATCTTCTATCTGAAACAGTTCCACTGTTTTCCTTGTCTTTCATAACCTCAAGTATTTTGTAAGTTATGGCCCTTAAATTGGTTTTGTCATCATGAGGTATTTCCTCATGATGGGACTAATCATCTGTTCACTCTTGAACCCACTACAATTTGGCTTTTCCCTACTTCCTTGCTGCCTGAAGTCAGCAGTGGTATTGTAATGGCAAAATCTAATAGGACAGGGCAAGCCCAAACTCTGTGACAAGGCAAACAGATTGTCTGCTTACCTTCACACAATTTCCCCTGCAAGAACACCTAGCTATCTCTAGATACTTGAACACATCACACTGTTTCATGTCTCCATGTGTTTGTTTCCATTATTTAAAGCCTTGATACTCAATATAGGCCAACAGCATTTGAATCTCCTGGAACTTTGTTAGAAATGCAGAATCTCAGGCTTTATTTCAGACCTATTGAGTCAGAATTTGCATTCTAACAACATACCTCAAGTAATTTGTTTGAGAAGCACTACTTCGGAACACCTCACCCTTCTTCCTCTATAAATTCCAATTAAGTAGTTGAAGCTGCACTTGACATTACCATCTTTCTGGAGTTTGTGTCTTTGCCTGTTTCTAATCTCCCTTAACCTCTCTCCTTCTGGCTTCTATGCAGAGCTACATACTCCTTCTTTATAGAATATTTTTAGCATATATCTATGCCCACTATATCATATAATAGTTATTTTTGTCTTCCTATTACATTATGATTTCTTTGATTTCCTGTGATGCACCATTGATTCTTCACTTAATAGTCTGCCTGGCACAGAGGAGGTGCTCAATAAATTCTGACCTCTAATTTTACTTAATTCTATAGAAATCACTAATAGTAAAGGAAAAATTAAGGCCCAGATAGTCAAGATATATATAGGATGAAATTTTTCATTATGTTATTAATACACTACTATTCTGTGCTAACACATTTACACTCTTATTTTTTAAATCAAATAGAGCAACATTAGAAGAAATAGACTCACCTCATCTTCTCTAACACAGCATGTATTTTCATTTTTGCATGCTCCCTTCAGTATTATCATGATAGTATTGCTATTATGGATATTGTTAAAATAATCATCTTCATGGGTACATTTTTTTTCCCTTTTGAAAAAAATTTAGTTTCAGGATAAATTCCAGCAAGTGGAATTATATCATGAAAAAGTACCTGAACATAATCTATACTTTCCTGTATTTCTTTAGGCTTTTTCACCTACGCATAGACAATTTTTCTTTGTCCTTGGTGCTTTCATTTTTTTCTTTCTCTTTAACTTTTTACTGTGGAAAAATTTCAAACAAACACAAAAGGAGACTAGAATAATGAACTCTCTTGTACCTATGCTTCAGCAGTGATCACCTTGTGAGCAATCTTGTTTCATCTCTCTCCCAGCACTTTTTTGCTAGAGTATTTTAAAGCAAATCCCAAACACATCTTTTCATCTACATATGTTAATATATTGGTGTGAATCTCTAACCAACTAACTGATAAAGTGTGTATATTTATATAACCACATTTGTATTATTACATCTAACAAAATTAATAATTCATTAATCTAAGAGCTAGTTTATGTTTATATTTCTCTGTTTCAAAAACTGTGTTTATAGCTGGTTTATTCAAATAAGAATCTCAACAGAGTCTATACATTGCATTTGGTTGACATAAGAATAAACATTGATCTTTATGGTGAATAAAAGAAAGGAAAAGCATAAATGTTTCTACATGGTTATAATTGTAGCAAACAGAAGTAAAATATTTTCATCCCTTTAATCTCATAACATTCTTTGAAAAATGTTTCCATCTTTACATGAACTTTTAAGATATTAAGGTTGCATATTCTACTATTGTATATAATTTAAACATATCCCTATTATGTTCTTCAAGCCGTTGCTAATTTTTCATTATCACAAAAAATGTTCAGATGAATGTAGTTATAAATAAAGGTTGTTTCATACTTAGGATTAGATTATTGAAAATGGAATAATTGGGTCAGAATACAGTTAACAGTTCAGTAAACATTTATTGTGAGCAGGTACAAAAGTAAACAAGGAGCTTTTTAACCACACTGAGTTTATAAAAAGAATATATAGTTTAAAGGCCTTGTAAATGTATCTGACAGTGCTTCCAAAAAGGCTAATGTCAATTCATAATGTTATCTGAAATATTTGAAGGTGTAAGGTTTACTAGAGTCATGAGAGAATTGATGATTATACCATTTAAACTTATTAATGTAATAGACAAAAATAGTAAACATGTACACAGTGTCTGACATAAGCACTATGTTAGCTATCATTACTATCAAGTAAATATAGTGTTTCTCCAATTCTTTTAAGATAACCATTTAACATTTAACTTTTTAATCCATCTTAAATTTTTCTAAATACACTATATGATGTAGGCATCTCATTTTTTATTTCTTCCTAAGAGTCATTATTTAACACCACCAATTTAGAGCTGCGGTCCACAATACCTGGGCTGCGAACCAGTACCAGTCTGTAACCTGTTAGGAACCGGGCTGCACAGCAGGGGGTTGGTGGGTAAGGGAGCGAAGCTTCATCTGTATTTACAGCTATTCCCCATAGCTCCTCATCTACCCCTCCACAACCCCTGCCCACCCTCTGCTACCCATCTGTGGAAAAATTATCTTCCATGAAACTGGTCCCTGGTTTGAATCTTGGCTCTACCATTACTCAAATGTGATTTGGGGAAGATTAGTCAAGCAGAATAAAAAAAATACCTAATCTCACAGGGTTGTACAGATTAAAAGAATTAACTAATACAAAGCTCTTCAACCAGTGTTGGCATATAAGGAATGCTTCATAAGAATCTGTTATTATTTATTGACTAGGCTATTCTTTTCACACTGATAGGTAATACCATTTTTGTCATATAATGACCTGTGGGTCTGTCTCTAGGCTTTTTACTTAGTTCCCTTGATCTGGCTTCCATCCACCACATTTTAATAATTATAACTTTATAATACATTTTGATATCTCATACTTAGTGATATCTCACACTTACTTTCTTTTAGAAATTTTATTTTCTACTCTTCAACATTTTCCCTCTGAGGTAAACTTTAGAATAACTTTGGTCCAAAACAATACTTTTGTGATTCTGATAAGAATTACATTCTATTTATAAATTAATTGGGAGAAAATTGACATTCTTATGTTACAATACTGTCTTGGAACAGGACATTTCTCTTCATATAGGAATGTCCTCTTACATTCCTCCTCAGTAAACTTTTGATGTTTTCTTTATGTAGGTCCCTGTTAAGTTTGATCCAAAATATTTTATATTTTCATTGTTATTGTTTCTGGGATAATTCATTTGATTGTATATGCTATATAGTTATTATTGGTACTTATAAATACTGCTGACTTTTATAAATTTATTTAAAATAAAACTCCAATTCTAACAGGTATTCATTTAACTGTAGAGGTAAATGATTATTTCATCTGGAAATAATTTATTTTAATTTATTTGACTTTTTGATGTTAAGATTTTAACTTTGCAGATAATCAAAACATGTTGATGTTTTTCTTTCTTCTAATTGCTTCCAAGTACAGATAATGTCCTCAACCCCATTTGAAGCACTCAAGTTTTATTTTGTAGTTTTTAATGTTTTATTTAAAATTCTTGGCGCTAACTAGAATTTATTTTGATTATGGTATAAAATGAGTGTGCAGAAAAAACTTTACTCAGAAAGACAATAATAATACCATTTATTGAATAATAATACTATTATAATACTCAATAACAATACTGTTTATTGAATGGTTCTCCACTTTCTTTTCTCATTGATATACAGTTCTTCCCTGATCAAATAATAGACTATTAGTCTGCTTCATCAACCTATTTTCCTAAATATAAGCAAAATATAATCTATGCTAACTATTACAGATTTTTGTCATGTTTCCATATTGGTTGGGCTAGATTATCTCAATACTTTTTCCAGTAATTTCTTTTATATTTTTCCCTGTTTAAGTCTTCTCAGTGGGCCTTATAGTTATTTTGCTGAGTCAAGCAAATTCTATTAGAACTTTTTAAGTTACAATGCATTAAACATATAAACTAATAGGGAAAATTGATATCCTTATTAATCTTACCATGCAGGAATGCTGTTTCTTCACATTTATTTAATTTTTCTATTATATTTACCAGTAATATTTCATAATTTTCATTCAATATATATTACACATTTTTTGTTAAGGTTGTTCCTTTGTATTTTCTACTTGTGTGTGTGTGATTTGTGAAAAGTGAATATTAAAAATTAAGGATTTGCTTTTATTCTTTTGTTAAATTTTATTTCCTTAGAATGCAAAAATAATAAGGATGAAGGATGTAAAACAGTATATAAAGTACAAGAATTGTAAATGTGACATACCAGGTGATGGAGATATGATACAGTCGCCTACAAATTTATTTTCAGCAAGATCTCCTTTTATTTCAGTCTTTTTTAACAATGTTTCAAAGTGAAAATGAAGAGGCATATCTGGAAAAATACAGTAAAAAAAGTATTTTCAGTGAATACCACTCTTTATAGACTACAATATTAAGATTGCTTTTTTCTATGTATAGCACATAAGCTTAGAAAAATAAGCAAAAGTTTGAAAAGTAATAACTATCAAAAGTGGCAAAATACTCTTTCTGATCATGTTGGGAGAAATATTTTGGAAATTACTGATTTAGGTAATCAGTAATTTAAACAAATTTTAGTTTGTTTACTTAGTAAACAAACTAAAAAGAGAACAGCTGAACAACCTCATGAACTTTCTATAATAGTACATAAGGTGAGCAGTAATTATAAATATTAAATACCATTCACAAATGAATGGAAACAAATGTACTGAAGATGTCTTTAAGAAAACCTGCTGCTAAACCTGGCTGATTCTAAATTCATTCCACCTCACCCCCACAAACTTTGCATCTGAAATAATGAGGTTTCAAAAAAATATAATTACATAGTTTTAATTACTTGGAGGAAAACCACTATAATTCAAATCCAACTTTTTATGAAAACATCAAGTTTTACATTCCTTTAGTTTACTAATATTATTACACAATACAAATCTTACAAAAAACTAAAACTGTTTGACAAACTAGTTCTCTTTCTTTAAATAGAGACAGACATTCAATTGGCCATGTTTACATTCAATATTCTCACAACCAAAAAGGAGCTAAGTAATAAAGTAGGTGTACTTCACATTCATTAACACATTAACTGCCATGTGAGGCATATTTAACTCACTACTTTTGAGCAGGGGGCCTCAAAAAGCATATGTAATTCACACATCTCTTTACCTTAGGAACCACATGAACTATTTTTCAAGTTGCATATAAGTCACACACAGAGAACAATAAAAAAATAACAGATTTTTCGTTAAATTACAAAGGATCATTTTGTTTTCGAAGTTTTTGTTTTATTTTTGTAATAAAACACTATGATCCCAAGATGAAAAAATTTTTTTCTAATGTGGCAGTCAGTGTGTTAAGAGTTTTTATTCAATCAAGAAAGTAAAATAAGAATCATCTTTAAGATAATTTATTAATAAGGACACCTAAACTTTCCCTGAGAAACATTTTATAAAGCAGTTGATCTATTGAAAATTTTGCTTCTGAAAGAAGATACCTTCTTAATAAAACTAATTATGAACAAATAAAGCAGGATAGACCCAGGAAGAGTCTGGATTTTAAAGAAAAGATCTCTCCCCCTCAAATGACATATTATAATGGCAGGTCTATATTCAACTGTGGAATATACAAAAACAAAAAAATTGGGTCATAAGTATCATCATGGAGTTTCTCTCCAGGGACAGAGGTAGGATGGGTTTGAATCCTAGTACTATAATATCATATGAAAACTTTATGACAAAATGAAAATGAAACTATAAATTAAATATTCTCCCTTAAATACTGCTTAAAGATATCAGGATTCTGATATTGTCCAATTACCTATACATAAGTTTGTTTCTGCAAAGAAATACTACTTTTATAAAGAAAATATCACCTACTACTGTTTTTTGTGAGTTATGGGAAAACGTGATGTGACAAGACAAAGTCCTTGTTCACTTATAAACCTTTCTCTACCCATGCTGTGACCTATAGATTTTTATCAAAATATTTCATAGCACTTTATTGTACTTATTAGTTTACATTTCAGTTGTGTTAAACACAAATGCAAGTACTTTGAGGTATTTATTTGTATTTATACTCCTAGCACCTATATAGTACATTGTCTATAGTAGGTATTGAGATTTTTATTAAATGAATGCAAAAAAGAATGAATAACCCTAACCAGTAGGTAAATAAGCTAATTTTATTTATTAGAGGAAGCATTAGAGTCTTAGCATAAGGGACATTTATATCACCTTTCAAAGTTATGTCATCAGAAAAATATATTTGCTAATAATAAAACAGGCAGTAAAGTAATGGTTAGGAGTTTGGTTCTGGAAAATGACTACCTAAGATTAAATCCTGGGTCATCATTTATTAGCTGAGTAATCCTGAATAACTTTAACATATCTCTAAGCTTGATTTTTCTCTTATGTAAGATGAAGAAGACAAAAGTATCTATTCTGGAGTTGTGAGAATTAAATAAAAGTAATGTGCTTAGTATATAGAGGGCCCAGTGTATGGTAAGACTAAATGTTAGCTGCATTATTATTGCTATATTATTATTTCTATTAAGGTTTTCTCAAAGGTGGAATAATATAGTTCCTGTTAGAAATTTAACTTCAAAGTATGGTGTAGTTAAGAATTCATTCTACTACCCACAAAAACTAAGCTAAGAATCAGGGCAGGGGAATAGGTCCAAAACATCATGCTTTACAAAGAGAATCAGTCTCTTGATTTTGCAAATTTAAAAGATGATTAGAATCACAAGTTGAAAACAAAACAAAAGCCCATGTGAGATATGCCACAATAAAGATAAGAACCTGAGATAACCAATGTGAGGGATGTTTCTACCCTAAATATTTAGTTCCAATATAAATAAGACTAAAAAGGTTCCCACAACCACCCTCCAAAAAAAAAAAAAAAAAAAATCAAGAACAGGCAATTTAAAACCACCTTAGGGTTGTGGGGCTATGCCTCATTTACTCAGTCATAGATTATAGATACTCGAGGTTGAAAAGTTGGACTATACTTATAGATGGACAGTTTTCTTCCCTCTTGGAAAAACTCAATGCAGACTATAAATGGAGGAATATATGGTAGGGAAAACTCCATGCAAATCAGAACATTAGAAAAAGAATACTGAATTCCTATTACTGAAAAGCATTTCAGCAGCACAGCCATGCCACCAATAAAATGTTCAAAATTAAACAAAATGAAAACTTAGTTATTTCCCAAAGTAAATCAAATTGGTTTGGAAGGGATTAAAGAATCAATGTAGAACAATAAGACTGCATGCGACTAAATTAATTCCTCATAGGGACTGTTTAGTTCTAATGTCTAGTGACAAAGTAATTGATAAAAATAAAATTTTATTAGATTCCCTGTATTCATAGGATTAGATATCACTTTAGAAAAACTCCAGTTACTAAGAAATTTTTACGAGGAGGCTTACCTGATGGCAATGATAGAACAGAATGGAAAGAGGAATCTAACTCTGATACATGTTCTCTTAATAGCCGAGACTCTGAATTGTGTTCAAAGCTACTCCAAGTCGAAGCTGATTGTAGGCAAGGCATTTGTGTAGTATTTAAAAATGTCTCTTTTGAAGGCAAAGTCTGCAAGGAAAAAAAAATAATTCAAAGACTTCATATTTGCTTGAAAACAGAATGAAAGACAGTGTAACAGTTATAATACAGTATGTGAGTGACACCAGAAGAAAATCCTGGCTTACTAAATCACCTTAGATGCAACACTTCAAAATGATGTAGAATAAGTGAGACAAGCCATTGAAGAATTGGCCATGAATCTAGTGAGATTTGACTAGACCCTTTTTGGTTTTTCAAAATGAAGAACAATGTCTATGAAAATGGTTCTTTCTCACAGTAAAGAGAAAAGAATCTTTAAGTGTGACATAGCTCTGCATTTATTTAAGTCATCTTTAATTTCATTCAATAAAACTTTATAACTTTCTTCTATAAAATTATTACACATATTTTGTTATATGTATTCCTAATTAACTTTAATACTTATTTCAATTGTAAAAGATTTAAAAATACAAATTAACTTTTATATGTTGAATGTATCCTACAACTTTGCTGCTTTCTTATTCTAATAATACATAGGTTCTTTTAATCTTCTATTTAATCATATTAGCTGCAAATAACAGTTTAATCTCTTTTATTCAATCCTAATATGTTTATTATTAGGTTATTAAGTATTGACTGTCCAATTTTCTTAAGTACTAAGTTTGATAGTTGATATCTGACATTTCACTTTTGACATTTCTGTCAGTTTTTTTTTTAATTGTGAAGGTACATCCTCATTCTTTTAAATGCATATTTTGGCTTGTGATTATCTTTCATATCTTTTTTGGAGCAATTTTTGTGAAACCATGGATAAGTAAAAAAAATCATGTTATTTTTGAATATGAGTTCTGTCATGGAAACAATGCAGTGCAGACAGCTTGAAATATCAATGAAGTGTTTGAGAAGGATGTGGCTAATGAATGCACAGTATGTTGATGGTTGCAGAAGTTCTGTTCTGATGAGCCATACAGATGACCTGAGACCAACGTGGATAATGATGAGCTGAAAGCTATAGTGGAAGTGAATCCATCTCAACCTACGCATGAATTAGCAGAAAGGTTTGACATTGCTATTCCAACAGTGTTGGACCATTTGAAACAAATGGGCAAGGTAAAGAAATAGATAGTTACTGCATGAATTAAACAAGCATCAGAAGAAAAATCATCTCGAAGCTTGCCTTTGCTGTCACTACATAAAGGCAAACCATTTCTACACCGTCTTGTTACACATGATGAAAAATGGATTCTTTTTGACAATCTCAAGCATTCAGCACAATGGTTGGATAAAGACAAAGTGCTGAAATACAGTCCAAAATTGAATATTCATCAAAAAAAAAGCTAATGGTGTCTGTTTGGTGGTCCAGCGTTGGTATTATCCACTATAGCTTCATGAAACCTGGTCAGTTATTACGGCAGATGTCCACTACAACCAGTTAGATGAAATGGTGAGGATGCTGTGATTAAGCAGCCAAGATTGGTCAATAGAGGTGGGCCAATCCTCTTGTAAGACCACATGTTGCAGAAAAACAACGCTGCTGAAACTACAGAAGCTGGACTTAGAAACTCTCTGTCATCCACCGTATTCACCAGTCAGTAGTATCAACTGACTACTACTTTTTCCAGGCTTTGGACCACTTTTTGCAAGGAAAAATATTCAATTTTCAACTAGCTGTGGACAATGTTTTTTGCAATTTCATTACCACTCGCTCTCCAGGCTTCTTTGCTGCTGGCATAAGTTACGCTACCATTAAGACGGCAAAACTGTGTCAATAGTTTAAGCACATCCTTTGATAATTGTACTCCATCTTGTTTGAGATATAATAAACTACACTTTTGATTAGAAATCGAACATTTCATATTTAATGACCTAATATTACTTAGGGAGTTCTAACTATGCTAGATAGGTTCACTAGTCCAGTAATGAATACAAATGATCAAAGGAGATATTCTTGTTTTGTTCCTGATTATAACAGGAATGGGTTTTAATTTATTAGAATGAAGAATGATGTGCATTGCAGGATTTTTTTTTTTGGTATGTTCTTTATCAGGATATATTCCTAGCTTGCCAAAAACTTTTAAAAATATGTTAAGATTGAATTTACTCATACTTTTTCTGAATCTATTAAAATGAATACTTGGCTTTTCTTTATTAATGTGGTGAACTCCATTAACAGATTCTTAAATGTCAAACTGAACATATTTTTCTTGAGGAATCTTCTAGGAGCTTATCAAGTTTATTAACCACTTCAAAGAGCCATCAAATGGACTTCATGACTTTCTATATTGTATGTTTGTTTTATATTTAATTGAATCCTACCATTCTTTAAGGTTAATAAAATATTTTGTTATATTTTTCTCCTAAGTTAACTTATACTTATGCATTCTTTTGCTTTCTTTTAATGTTTTCCCTAGTGATTACAATGTTTATCTTTAACCTATTAGCTTTGACAATATAATACAAATTATTCCTTTACCTTTTCCCTGAAAACTGAGACATTAGAACACTTTAACTCATTTACTCTCCTCTTTCTTTTTGTGTTGTTGTTAGGCATTTTAATTCTACATATATTTATATATTGCTCTATATTACCATTACTGCTTTTACTATCAACATTTATGTATACTGACTATAAATTTATCCCTTCTCATTGGTTTAGGTCTTTCCTATAATTTCCTACTTCCACCTGGGATCATATTTCTTCTCTCTTTATTATAATGTAGATTTGCTGTCAACAAATTCTCTCAATTTTTATTTATTTGAAGCATTTATATATTGTCTTTTTTTTTTTTTTTTTATACAGGGTCTTGATCTGTTGCCTGGGCTAGAGTGCAGTGGCATCCTCATAGCTCGCTGCACCCTCCAACTCCTGGGCTAGAGGGATCTCTTGACTCAGCCTCCCAAGTAGCTGGGACTACAGGTGGGCATCCATGCCCAGCTAATTTTTTTTTCTTATATTTTTGTAAAGAGGGGGTCTCACTGTGTTGACTCAGGCTGGTCTCAAACTCCTGGCCTCAAATGATCCTCCCATCTCAGTTTCCCAAAGTGCTAGGATTACAGGCATGAACCACCATGCCTAGCCATGTATATTATTGTTTTTTTAATGATATTTTTGTGGATATAAATTCTGGGTTGGCTTTTTTTTTTCTTTCAGTAATTTAAGGATACTTTCATTCCTCTGGCTTCCATTGTTCCCATTAAGTAGTTAACTATGGGTCTTATTGTCCTCATTTAATGTAATGTGTCATTTTTCCCTCTGGCTTCTTTTACTAATTTCTCTGTGTCTTCACTTTTTTAGCAGGCTTACCATAAGATACTGTCTTAGTCTGTTTGGGTTGCTATAAAAAACGACTATAAACTGGGTGGCTTATAAATGACAGAAATTTATTTCTCACAGTTCTAGAGGCTGGAAAGTCCTAGATCAAAGTGCTAGCAGATTTGGTGTCTGGAAAGGGTCCACTTTCTCATGTACAGAGGCCATCTCCTTGCTGTAACCTCAGATGGCAGAAGAGGGGTGGGAGCTCTCTGGGGTCCTTTTTATAATGGCACTAATTCCATTCATAAGGGCTTACCCTTATAACCAAGTAAACTTCCAAAGGTCCCACCTCCAAATACTATCACATTGGGATTATGTTTCTATATATGCATTTTGAGGGGGGCATATTCAGTCTATAGCATTCTATCCCAGACTGCCCAAATTCCATTAGACCTGAAGGCTCCAGAATAATCCTCTTTTGCTTTATGCTCTGCCTTGCAGACCCACTGGGGCTGTGATCCTGCCTCCAAAGCTATCACAGGTTAGAGTCTCAAGCCTGTGGCTCCCCCTGGTGGTGATCCTGCCTCCACCATTCTTGCCAACTAGGGTCCTGCCTGTGGCTCTCCCAGGCTGGAATGGTGCACCAGTGGCTTTTCCAGGCAAAGCCCAAGCCACAGTTCCCTGTGTGTGGGTGGAGACTGTGCTGTGTTGACACTACCAAAATTTGCCACCTGTGCCTTCTACAGGGCTAGCCATCATATCCTGTGCTCCATTAGGATTCACTGGAGCCACCCCTGGGTTAGCTGGAGGCACCAATGTGGAAAGCAGATGTGAGATGCCATTGGACGGTGCATGCTGAGGTCCCACAGGCTCTGTTGGCTGCACGTTTGAAACTGTTCCACCCCCAGGGTCTTTGCCCTCTGGGCCTTTGATGGGAGGGCAGCTCTGATGATTTCTAAATTGCCTTCAGGGTAAGAGGGGTTGCAGAAACCAGCTCTCTGGAGTCATATATTAGACCTTCTCTGCTAACTTTTCCAATTCTTTTTTCTCTCTGTGCTTCATTTTGTGTAATTTCATTCAGGTCTATCTTCCAACTCAATTCTCTTTTCAGCTGTATCTATCCACCTTTTAGTTATGTTAGCAATATTCTAATTTATTTTCCTTAAATATATGAAACATTTTTATATTCTTGTAATTCTAATATCTGAAGTTATTTTTGTAGCTTTATGTGTGTGTATACATATATACACACATATGTATTTTATAGAGATTTATTTTTATATATACATATATATGCATGCATATACATATATATGTAATTTTCTTTCTACTGACTGTCATCATGTTGCCTTATTGTGTGTTTTATAATTTTTTTCTCATTAGGAATTCATTTTTGTTAAAACTTTATTCATTGGATTTTTAGAAGTTTCTCTTGACAGTTCATTAACCTAGAAAGGATGTATATTTGTTTCAGACAACCATCTGGAAAAGTAGCTAACCTATTTTAAAAGCCAATTCCTGTCTTTTTTTTTTTTTTTTTTTTAAGTAAAGCACTTTTTTTTTTTTAAGTAAAGCACTTTTTTAAGTAAAGCATGATTTCAGACTTCAAAGATGAAAGAGGCCTCACTTGTTATAATTTCTATTTATTGCAGAGACTCTATTTTCCCTTTTCAGACAGAGCCCAAGGCAGAGAATGGCAAGTTCTTTGCATGTCTTTGCAGCAGGTTTGAGTTGTAGTTCATCCATTCACAAAGTCATTATCCTTTAGAAACTCTTG